GCCCCCGGCGGAACCTACTGCCTCCACGCATACACTTTCCACGCGAAGCGAGATGCCACATGGGTTTACAACTTTCTACGCGTGAAAAGTGTATGCGTGGAGGCAGTAGGTTCCGCCCCACCGCGGGGGGCTCCACTATTATTAAACTAGACACATAGTGTGCCTTCAAAGTACATGCGTGGGCTTTCCACGCGTGAAAAGTTGTAAACCCATGTGGCACCTCGTTTCGCGTGGAAAGTGTATGCGTGGAGGCAGTAAGTTCCGCCCCTCCCCCCCTGCGGTGAGCTCCACTATTATTAAACTAAACACATAGTGTGCCTTCAAAATACATGCGTGGACTTTCCACGCGTGGAAAGTTGTAAACCCATGTAGCACCTCGCATCGCTATCGCCTATTGTGCAAGGGGCTTAAGATTGCCGGGAAAATCAACTCAAACATACACTATTTTGTCGAGGGCAACGATATGTAACTCCAGCTGCCAGTACTTCGCTGTCAGAGCTTAGAGATTCCTGAGAATCAGTACTCTTTGGTATCTCTTCTGAATCTGAGATATTATATTCTGAAACACTTAGTCTTCTGTCATACTTATCATCCGTATCACTTTTTCTTCTCTTATCACTCGAAATTGCTAACTCGGATCTGTATTTCATCTCCTGCAGTTTTTCAGAAAGTACCTCCTTTCTAATCAGTACATCTAGAAGCAAAGTAAATGGTATCCCAATATTCTGAAGCTAAAGCTATAAATCACAATAATAAATGCCTTTATTTACCTGGAAAATGAAACTGTTTTAAAAACGTGTGTGTATTGTGGCTAATAGTGGCTGATAGCAATGCCGGACTAGAAGGTGTTGAGCGGTTATATCTCAAGGTATTTAAACTAGAATCGCCCTAATAAATAATAAATATACATACATATATATATATATATATATATATATATATAAAGATTTTGCATCATTTTATCTATATAAAATTATAAAAAATGATTCGTTATGCAATATAAAATATCTATACATTTACATCATTATATAAAAATTTACTTGCGTAATTTAGTTTTAAATATATATTTTTAAAATTCCTGAATAAATTTTTTTGCATCGATAACAGCGAATAGCTCTTAATTAGCCCTGTTTCCTTCACGATTGGATTTCCAACAGAGCCTCTACTCAACGATTTTTAAACGCTGGCTGAAAGTATCCGTAACTACACATTTTTTTTTGTTGCTCGAGACTGACGGTTCTTCTTGCGAATGGGGAGGGTAAGTTTCCTCTACATTTTATATTATCATTCCCACACATTTATATATATATATATATATATATATATATATATATACCCGGTTTTCATAACGTTTTTCGCCTTCCGGTTCCCAGTTTCCAGCCTTTCCTGTCTTTCCAATCTCCTGGTTGTAGATTGCGTTCTGACATGGCCTTTTGTATTCCGCTCAACCACGTTGCTTTAGACCTTCCTCTTTTCCTTCTCTAAGTTGGGGTCCACTTCAAGATTTGTTTTCGTCGCTCATCCGTTGTACATGTCCATACTATACCAGTTGTCTTCTTTGGATTTCATCTATTATTGTTCGATCTACTTTCATTATTTCCCGGATTCTTTCATTTCGGACTTTTTCTAATCTGGACACTCCCGCAGCTCTTCTCCAGAAGTCCATCTCCAGGGCTAGCAGACGACGTTCCAAGGATTTTGTTAATTGTCAGGTTTCACATCCGTACAATACTATCCCCTGGAAAATTGTATATAATACGCTTGCGCGCTCTGGATATGCTTTTTGACCATAGGACTGAGTTCAGACAGCCTACTGCCTTTTTTCCTTTCATTATTCGGTTCTCTATTTCGTGTTCAGTTCGGCCACTATTGTCTATTTTCGTGCCCAAGTAAATGTATTCTGTGCAAGATCCTATTGTTTCGGTGTTGTCTACGTTCAGATTATCCTTGTCGTTTCCTATACATAGATATTTTGTTTTTGACCGATTCACCGATAGTCCCCATTCGTCATACTCTTTAAATAACCTTCTCTTCATGAATTCCAGGTCCTTTTTGTCTTGCGCAATTACAACTTGGTCGTCTGCGAAATGGAGAGTATATAAGGAGGAGTATATAAGGAATTATCGTTTAACTCTACTCCTATTCCGTTGCATGCTCGCCTCCATTTACTAAGGGCCTCATTTAAGTATATTTTAAATAAAGTAGGAGAGAAGCAGCAACCTTGTCGAAGGCCTTTCGTGACTGGAAAGCTTTCCGATATGTTATTTCCGAGTTTGATCCGCGATGTTGCTTGATCATATAATTGTTTTATTGCTGTTATTACGGGACTTATTTATTCGGGACTTTTCTAGTACTTGCCAGAGTTTTTGCACAGGGACAGTATCATAGGCCTTAGTTAGATCGACAAATGGCATGAAGATCTCTCCGTTGGTCGCGACTTTCTTTTCGTTGAGCTGAGCCAAACTGAAGATGTGGTCCAGACACGAGCGACCCATTCGGAATCCTGCTTGTTCTTCAATTTCTTGGGGGCCATACTCTTCTTCTATGATGTTTCGAAGTACTTTCCCGTATAGTGGACTCATAGTGCTTGTAACAGATATGCATCTGTAGTTTGAGCAGTCGTCTCTTTTCCCTTTTTTATGGATCGAGGTAATCCAGGCTTCTTTCCATGCCCTGGGGATCCTTTCTCCATTTAGATATCTTGTGAAGAGTTCCCTAAGGAGAGTAACAAGTTTTTGAGTTCCACATTTTATCAATTCAGCAGGAATTCCTTCTGGTCCACTCGCTTTGGCGTTCTTCATGGATTTTATAGCTTTCCATATAATTCCTTCATCAATATCAATATGTTGCCCTTGGACTTGATATGTTTTTGGGGAGTCTGTGAGGTATATTGTCCTGTCTTCTTTAAATTGTTCCGAGTAATGCTGTTTCCATGCGTTTATCTGTTTTGGCTGGATGTTTATTTTGTTTATGTTGCCCGTTTTTAGAGTTCGGATCAGTTTCCAGGCTTCCGATGATTTTGTTCCTCCTATGTAGCAGTCCCACACATTTACATAAGATATATTTAGGATTCGACAATATCTCCATTCTTTGTGGCGGGAATCCAGAGGAGACTTATATATATTCCTCGTCATTCGTAGGATGATTACCGTTCGTCAATTAATTTGCCACACATTTTATCATATGCTGAAGATGGTCTAAATTAAGACCAATACGTTCGAACTAATTATTGACTGAATAAATTTTTCGCATCGATAACAGCAAATGGCTCTTAATTAGCCCTGTTTCCTTCACGATTGGATTTCTAACAGAGCCTCTACACAACGATATATTTTTAAAAACTCACTAAAAATATTTGGAAATATTTGGAAATTGTAAACCAAGTCCACTGCTTGGCGATGTGAGCTAAAGTTAATAAAATATATTATATTTGATAGAAATTGTAACATACCTGACAAGGTATATTCATAGAAGATTGTGTATATGACAGTCTCCTGTCTTTGCGATTTAAAGGAGGTAATAAATTTGCATTATTCGAAGATGTTGCGGCAGGCCTCTTTAATACTGGAGAAACATTCAGCAAATTACCTAAAATAATGTATTTTTATGACTTACTGTTAAACATTTGTTACTCTTGAAAAAACTTTGTAATATAACTTAAAAAAAATATGAAAAAAAAAATTAGACAATAATTAACAGTATTAAAGTTGCAATGTTTTTACGTACTCTCAGATTGCATAGTTCGTTTAAACTCAGCATAAAATCCTCGAGGTAGGCCACAAGAAGGAGGTACTTTGGATCCACATTCTCGATGGCATCTATATTTACATTCCTTGCATTTTAAAGTGTTCATAAACATCGGTTTCTCACAATAGTCACATACTGTCATTACATTAAAAGATCTGGTAAAGCGATGAGCAATTATATGACTCATGCCGCGAGACACAGGAGTACATGGAGATTTTGGCACGTTGAGACTTGTTTCTAAAAATAAAACAAAAAATATAATTTATTTATTTAAAGAATATAGCGTTAAAAAACGTTTCTATTTCATGTACCTGATCCCGCAAGATTATCATCACTTTCTGCATTTGTAGTACAGATTGGTGGTGGTTTAAAAAATGATTTAATAGGTGATTTAACAGGTGATTTAATAGGTGATTTAACAGGCGATTTAATAGGTGATTTAACAGGGCTATTACAATTTGACAAAAGACTTTCTTCCCTTCCATAGTCTGTTGTACCATAATCTAAACTTTGTTCTGTTGGTAAATTTCTTCTCACAGAAAAATTACTTTTGTTCTTTATAGGAAAGTCACTTCTAAAACTAAAAAGATATAATGTTAGTATATATTTAAAAGATAAATATTTTATTAAAGTAAAGGTTTAGAAAATTACCACAATGAAATAACACGTAATGAAATTAATAGAAAATGCATAGTAAACTATTCTAAGTATTACCTAGATAATGTATCATCATTATCAAGTTGCATACTATCAGGACGACTTGCCAATTGTGATTCATGAGATTTTGACTTAGCTAATGGAAATACTTCAGATGGGCTATTTTGCACACTAATCAGTTGTTTTTTACATGGAGGAGGAGTTGACGGAAATTTAATTTCTATAATCAAGAAAAATTTATGTATTTTAATCTTCAAAATATAATTAAAAAAGTATATTTTCTTCATACTTACCACGTTCTTGCTTTAGTAATGAAGAGATACAAGGAGGACTACTTAGTATCAAAGATGCAGAAGCTGCTGGTAATACATCATTGTTGTTATTATGATATGGAATGCTACTCTCTGATGGAATAGAACACCGTTGACGAGATAGAATTGGCTTAGAACAAATTTCCTTGCGTAAATGGTAACTGTCCCAAGAATCCCAGTATAAATCTGAATCATTCTCCGTATCTCCTTTTATTAGAATATCTGACAAAAATAGTAAATGTATCCATTATTTTGTTATTTATGATATATACAAATAAAATAAATTGTTTTTACAATAATATAAAATTTTATTTACCCATGTATCGCCATAAATTACTCAGTGCTTTACGAAGCCTACGACATTCTTCCTTGTAGTATATACAATTTTTATTTAACATACTGTTTAATTCATGTTCAGACTTCTCTCTCAGGTCTTCAAGAGTATTAACTTTGAAACAAACCATCTAAAATATTATAACAGGGCATTAAAGAAACAGAAATTAAGACTTGGTTTGGTAATGTCATTTAAATTTATTTTTAAATTGTAATAAAACTAATAATAAACGTAACAAATCATAAAAAATCTATTCATATCTGTGCTCATATAATTGTTACCTGAATTGATTCCTGAGTGAGACCGACTACCCGCAACCATTGTTGTAACGATGGATATTCTATTATGTCTGACGGCAACGGGTTGGCCAATCTGGCCTTTGCCACAAGTTGTTTGCAGTATAACTTTATTAATTTCCCCTATAAAAAAATATTTAAATATATAGATATATGTAATTATTTATTTAAATATAGATAAATCTTATTCCGCTATTGTGACACATATTAAGTATTAATCTCTACAAAGTTATATAATTTATATATTATGTACACGTATATTAATTTTAAGCTTCGTTGTTTATTACCGTAATTGTGTATGTTTATTTGAAATAAAGGTACAATGCTCAAATACGAAATATACACCGAGAGTAAAAATTATTTATATTTATATCGAGTATCATATACAAGACTACAAATTTCTACCACTAAAACATTTTAAGCAATCATTACGACATTACACCATAATCCTACCATAAACGTATATAAATTTTAAATAATATTATCTATATCTTTCAATGGAATCGTAATAACATCACAAATTTCTCAATCTCACAAACTGGACACATATTTATTCAAGATAAGCATACAACACTCAAACACGACATATTGCACATTTTATACTCGGATTAAAAATTATGTATATCAAATGTCATATTATAACTTTCCTATGACCATAAATTTCACTACAAAAACATGTTAAATTTTGGGATTACGATCATTATGTCATAATCTCAAAATTTACAGATAAATCTCAAGTGACATTATCCGTGTCTTTCAACGGAGTGACATGACAAATTTTTCATTCACAAACTGGAAACGGCAGGAAGAAGGCATTCTCAAGAGCAATGTAAACAAATGTAAACAGCTGAAGCTGTCATAACGCGGAGCACGGCGGGGCACGATATTTTCGGCGTTCCCGCCGACATGACGGAGTCCGGAGGTTCTCGAGGCTTTGAACGACGGCGAGACGGCGCGGTTGCAACTATGTTGACGATCAACAGAGAGAAAGAGAGGCGCCAACGACCAGCGTCGTCGGGGCAAATCGGTCCTGATTTTCGCGCGCGAGGGGCGAGGGGTACGGCCGGACTTGTGGAGGGCCCCCTCACCTCCAGCATCCTTATCTCCTGCTGGGTCAGCTCCGCGGTAACGGAGCATTGGGTCCGCAAATCGTCGAGCTGATCGGCGGTGAAGTTAATCATAGTTTGCGCGACGTCCAGGGTACGTCGTACGCTCTCCACGTCCCCATAGGCTGCCATTCCTCGCGCGACGGCCAACCCAACGCGCGAATTCTCATCAATACGGGCTCTCGCTCTCACTTGACGGGCATAACGCCGACCACGCTTGATACCCCCGTCCGGTCGTTTATCGTCGCCGCTCCGCCGTATAACCAAACCACTTATCAACATTGACAACCATCTTGGCCGCCTATCGATGACGTCAATCGACGCTGCCCATGCCGGGCTCAGGGCTGTTGAGGAGCTCGACTCATTCGCGTAGCACGGGCGTTCGCAAAGCTAAACACTTTTTAGCTCGCGTTGTAAACGGCTTTTCACTCATTTTCTCGCACTCCTACTACGTTTACGCGAGCGTTACTTCTGCAGTAACTTACGATTATTCCTTCGCGTAAACGGGATTTTGTAGTAACTTAAGGCCATTGCACGTAACAAAGTTTTAGTTATAATCGTAAGGCCGTAAGATAATAGACCAATCACAGTCGATTATTTTTCGAGCTCAAGGAAGAGTGCGTAGAGTGCGGTAGAGTGCGTTGACCAATCAGAAGGCTGCCGCAAGTCGCCTGCGACAAAATCAAAATTTGTGATTGGTCAACGCACTCTGCCGCATGGCGTTTCCGCGTCTATGGAGTCTTAGCATTACTGTACAGATTAAATTATTTAAGATTCTTGGTAAAATAATAATTATTAAGATATTTCTTAAACTTTTTTTATGTATAAAACATACATCATTGATAATGTATTTTAAGTTTCAAAATTTTTTGCAACAAAACAATTTTTTTAATTGTTTAAACAATATTAATTATTAAAAAGAAAAAGGCCAATGATCGAGCATTAGAGATTAGAGATCGAGATGTTTTTTTTTATACCTTGACCATACAACCTGACAAAAACAACACTTCTTATGGACTGGATCCGATTTATTCTCGCCTCCGAACCCTGTCATACCGGCACCAGAGTGAATTTTGGAACGCAGCCGGCGCAGCCCTTGATGTTTGTCTTTTCTTCAATATGGCGGTGAGTTTACGTTCCTTGCTCGAAAAAACTTCTTTTAATCTTCATATATCTTTTACATCACTAAGCTCTAGCAAACATCATTATGACACAGGAATAACTGATACTATCATAAATTATTGATGATATTTATTTTTTTTTTAATTAAACCGATTTTCAAAATTATCGCTGTGATAGGCGAATGAGAGCGCACGCTTGTTTTTAATCGGCATTAGTACATATATATCTTTTGTTATGTTTATAATAAAGTTTCTTAGTTCATTTGTTCTAAAAAAAATTTTACGTTTAATTAATACATAAATGACTTATTAAAAATATATTTGATCTATGCTGATCAACAGGCTGGAAGTATCGAATTATAGGTTAATATTGTTATGTTAATCCTTACTCGCGGTTTTTTTTTACATAATTACATGGAATGTAATTTGCATTATATCTCAATTTTCATTGTTATCTTTAATGATTTCCAATTAAATAGAAGTTGATAATATTCTATATATCCTCCATATAAAGATAAACGCAAAAGTCACGTCTAATTGTGAAACAATTTATCTATAAAATCGGTAAAGGTTCACTCTGTAAATTTAGTAGATTCCTTCAACTGGGGTACATTTTACACCCTACATGAAGAACATTGGATTAAAGGTCTTAATTTTAATCATTTTAATCGCAGGAGCTAAAGAAAGCGTCCGAGAAGAAAATCAGGAAGAAAACCGAGAAGAAGACTAAGGAGCCGAAGGATGCATCCAAAAATATAATGCGTGAAGTCAAAATCCGAAAGTTGTGCTTAAATATTTGTGTGGGCGAATCAGGTGATCGACTGACGCGTGCTGCCAAGGTAGATTTAACATTCTGAACATATTATTTTTGTTTTAATAAAAGTGTTTCCAACGGTCCAACCTTTAGAGTTAAAATAATTTTTCACATAGGTCTTGGAACAACTGACTGGCCAGCAACCAGTGTTTTCTAAGGCTCGATATACGGTACGTTCATTCGGTATCCGCCGTAATGAAAAAATAGCTGTGCATTGTACTGTACGTGGCGCGAAAGCTGAGGAGATTCTGGAACGTGGCTTGAAGGTGAATGAAAAAAAAAAAGTCTATACGTATGATTTACGCTTACATTATAATTCTAATGTATTATTTGGGTTACAGGTACGCGAATATGAATTGAGAAAAGAAAACTTTTCTTGCACCGGCAATTTTGGCTTTGGTATTCAAGAGCACATTGACTTGGGAATTAAGTACGATCCCAGTATTGGTATCTACGGTTTAGACTTCTACGTTGTACTTGGACGCCCAGGTTAGTAGTAACTACCTTGATTTCAATTGCATACTGAATGCCTAAAGTAATGTTGCACATTCTGCATCATAGATATCCTTGTTTTATGGTGTTATCTATACATTAAAATGTGCTAGAGAAAATGTTTCATATTTGCAACTCATGCCCACTTCATTTTACTGGGTGTGTTACTTGATTGAGACTACACTTTAATTAAATATTAAAATATTTATATATTATATAAATGTAATAAAAGGATGAAAGTTTCATACCTTATGTATGGATAAATCTAAATGTAAATTATGAAATGTGTTTAATTTGTAGGATTTAACGTAGCTCACAGAAGAAGAAAAACTGGTAAGGTCGGTTTTCAACACCGGCTTACCAAAGAAGATGCTATAAAATGGTTCCAACAAAAGTATGATGGTATTATCATAACAGGAAGGAAGTGATTCACATGTATTTTATATTGTACAATTTAGTAAATAATTTTAACAAAAATTGTCTATATTCTTTAATAATATATCTAAACCTTGTATCCGTAACACCTTCATGCTGCCGAAAATCCTGCAGATATATTTATGACACTCCGCGAAACTTTGGAATAAGAAAAAGACTTAATATTAAAGCTTTGGAATTTTTATTTAAATTTTTTTTTCTATTGCATAATACAATCAAAACACTGACGAGTATGTGGATAAATTAATGAGACAGAATGTTCCTCACCAAGATGCATATAAAAATAAGGATCAAGTAAAACGTGAATTTGTTATTGTACGTAATTATTAAATTCGCGGAAAACACTATATCAGAGACAAAATTGGACAATATTCTATTTAAAAAGTGTCAAATGCTTATCTCTAGAATTTTTTGTCATTATTTTCGATGGAATGACATTTTATTAGCTATAATCGATCTTACTTAGGCCTAGCATTATAACACCCACATAAAAGGAACTTCATTATAAAATAAACATTATTTACCACTTCGGAGTTAGAGAAATGTGTGATCGCACTTACATATTATATGAAACTATATTCTTTCCTTGGACATTGGACGTTTTGATACAGTATTACTGTCAATATATATTTCTGTTTCTTGATTTATAAAACATTTATTAGAAGAATGTTGCTTCAAGAAACGATCTGTATGTGCTATGAACGTTCGTACTTATTGGCACCTTAGACGTACACTTTTCAGACTAATTTCATTCGAAATTACAAAAATCTTAGTGCTAAAGAAATTATCGTTTCCATTCATATTGCGATTTTAAATCATACAATATAACACAATAATTAACGTAAAACTTTCAGATCACAACATTAAGATTTAAAAAGAAAAAAGGCAAAAAGAAAATTACTTACATCTAATTTTACAATATTCTTAATTGCTGAACAAGAGTTCAGAGCTTTGATAACAAAAGGTAACTTTAATCCGATAGTTGGTGCTGGTTGGTGCCAAGCATTAAACTTGATTATAATCAAATATTCGTTCACAATAATTAACTGCCTCACTACTCTTTGGTTCTAATTTAAATACATGAAAATATCCCGTAAAAAAATGAATAATTATAATTATAAGACATATAGGAAGTGTGCTCATTTTGATATCCACTAATAGTTGCACTTGTATAACTCTTCACGACCTACTTAACTTGAAGCTACGAGCAGATAAAAAGGCAAGATATATCCTTCAGTCTCCATATTATTACCTTATCTGGACGCCATGTCAGCAGACTTTGATATAGATAATATATACAGGATGATTCAGAGTTACTATACATATATACAATTAAATGATTTCTTTTCCATTGTGACCATTTACCTCAAAATCATTTTCTTGTACATATTTAAAAGTTTGAAAGACGGACAAAAACTCTGATCTTTTTATCCTGAATATTGTACATACATACATACATATATATATTATATGTATGTATGTGTATATAGATATATATTTCATTTATAACAAATATATAAATAAATTTATTTATCTATGTCTGTGGGAATCCCCACGTGATAACGAGAAAGATATATATTCAAGTTTTACTCGTATAAAGATGGGCATGCATTTCAAATAATTACGTAAAGATAATAGATAAATTCTCGACTTAGAATTTTCCTTAGCAATTTGTTATATATATCATATATTTCTTGCTCAATTTTAGAATATTTTATTATGATGCAACGCATGCATAATAATCATTGAAGAAGTGAAATATGATTTGCAATAACTAGACAATATATCTTTTTTTTCGAATGTAACTAGGATATTTATATATCTACTAATTTAGAGCATACAAGTCATGCGATACGCGTGATATTAATTTGTAATACATGGCCATCGCAGAGCATTGATGATATATACAGTCATAAACAAATTCAGTCTAAGCTGTATATAATTTATGCTGTTAAATCCCAGAACTTTAAATATACAAGTAAAAGCAATCTCCTAAAATTGCTAGCTGTTTACAAACTATACGCCATATATATTTTATGGATTAGCTAGCAATTTTTGCAAGAGAAGCATGTTGCTTTTATAATATATATTTTCGATATATCTATCAAGTTTAAAACAAATTTTTTGAACACACATAAAAATGTTGATTTTTAAAAGATACCAAAGACCTAAACGCATTTAAAAATTTGGGTATTAAATTGCATAATGTAACACCAGCCGTCAATAATGATATAACTTTTTTATATTGAAAATTTTTAGAAAATATTATTTTCTCGCTGATCGATAGTATCTATCGATATTGTGCCTTTCCGCATCCGTGAAACCTAAGATACTTTCAATAGCATTTAAGTGACCGTGATGATTCTCCTTATCAGTTAAGAAATAGTAGATCGCCGACTTTAGGAACTGCAGGGTAATTTCTGGGTCGAGAGTACCCTGGCTGCTTCTCGTCTCTACAATACGCCTATACATTGCCTGATCAAAACAGAATAACGCACTTGTTAAAGAACAAAGTTTTGTGACATTAAGAAAGTGTACAACTGGAAAGTGTTGTATAATTGTTTGTACATATAATGTTTCATCAAATTTGAATTCAGACATATAATGTATAAGATTCAACATAATAATATAGATATAAGTTTTTAATGATTAACAGCATACATGTACGATTGAAAATTATTTGTATATGCCAATTTCGTATCAAGATATAACACAATATTACAATTTCGTATCAAGACATAACACAATGTTACATTTTTACGCATTAATATCAAGTAGAATTAAATCGATCTATCTGAATTCAAAAATATAGTATACACGTTTTGTATGCACTATGGTGAAAATATGGTGAAAGCGTGCATTGCCTGTAAGCACGTGCAAAACTTACATTGCCCGAAGATAATAAGAGGCTGTTTCTTCCAAGTGCACTGGATAACATCGCCCGATCTAAGAGCAACGTATAGAAGTATAAACCATCTACGTTTGTGCTTCATTGAGTCCGCATGCAATTGTTGCAGCAAGCATTCACTAACGCGAATGTAAAGGAAAGAAAGATACGAGGAGCGCAATCGTGTTCTTTTCCACACGCCCTTATCTATTCAAGAACTGATCGCCCTGCCGACAACTTATGTCGGCAAGTTCTCAACAAAAGTTCTCCACAAAGTTAACGTCACTCCTTTCACTTACGGATGAGTGACGATTACTCTGAGATAACACGGAATTACTAAGTTACAAAATAACAAGTTATTCAGATAAGTCACAAAAAAGATCTCCAATTAAATACATTCATCTAATTTCGGAATTTATAAGAGGAAACCACAGCAAACATTACATTTATGTCAGAATATCAGCTCTTGATGCAGTAAAACATTGATAGAATACCGGTGCATCAAATATGCGAACAACTGCTACTTTAAGGGCGATAAAAAGTGGATGAGAATTGCGTCATCACGTCGCAGCCGAGTTAAGATACAGACCTTACGTGTGCCAAGGACCCAGAGAGAAACAGCCTCCTGAGCGCTTAATAAACTTTGGCTACGTTCGGCTGAAATGTGAGGTTCAGGCGAGTAGCTTGTGTCCTGGAGTGTGAGCGGCGACCAAAAAAAGTGGCACATCGTTAGTACAAGAGTATTGTGAACTACGAGGATGCTCGAAATGTGATGTACACGCCTAACAAGTGTAATAAATAATACGATAAATGTGAGAAATGAATAAACAATGTCTGCGAAACAAATAAAAAAGCTGATTGGATTACGCAAAAAAAAAACGCGTTTTTGAGATTCACTTTATTAGATGTGTTATTGTGTTGGCATAATTAATCGCTAACACAAATCTTGCTATCGCCCTCTCTCTCTCTCTCTCTCTCCCTCTCCCTCTCTCTCAATCGTGAGAAAATCAGTTATTTTACGAATTTTGGTATACTTATACTTTAGGTAGAATGCATCTAAAAAGAATAAGACATACTAATGATTAAGCAAGGAAAATAAGAATGCAAATGTCGAACTAATAAGAGACTCATTTGTGCAAATATCGCAATGCAATCTAATATTATGAAAGCTCGTTGATGACAACAAAAATGATGAATTCGCTGAAAAAGACTGTGGCATATAATAACTAGTGTTTGAAACGCTTAAAAATCATAACAAAAATTCTATTTGAGATATATTAATAGCAACTGAAAATTCCTCTCATCTTGCAAAAAACGAATAAAATTTTCAGTCAATCTGCTACGTCGCTGTATTGCCATATTTGTCAATGTAAGACTTATAGAATCGTAAATTATAAATAAATCACATCTCACCTTAATATTCTCTAACTCAGCTTGCGTGACAGTTAGCTGTTGAAGCAACTCTGCAACGGTGACTTTAGGCGGTGATTGATGCGCCTGCACGAATATCTGTAATTTTATGAAAAGTACTCTTACCATTGTCGATCTTGCTTACGTTTTCCATCCTTATGTTTATCTTCGATATATCTATCATACCTGATCGGCTTGTTCGATGCGCGCCGCTTCTTGACCTTTGGCATACATTTTCAGGTACATTTGCTTATTTCTTTCTTCCTGCTCACTCAAAAGCGTCTTCTGGTCATTAAGCTCAGTCTTCACAGCCTCTAATTCCAATTCTAATTCACGCGCGCGAGCTTCGGCAATGTCCATAGCCGGGCGCATTTCGCAGTAACGAGTATTAACCTCAGATAATTGATTCAACAAGCTTTCCACCTACAAATACATTACCAATGTAAAAAATCATAGTTTTTTATTTTTTAGAAGAATGAAGAAGGAAAAAGTTATGATCAGTCGAACGAAAGTCTTTACTGACCTTGTCATTGTGCTTCTGTTTAAGCTCCTGCAACTCATCAACATGCCGCCTATGCATATACTCGATTCTACCTTCGTAATGACTAACTAATCGACGTCTCTCTTCATCTCGTTCTTCGCTCGTTGGCGTCACAGGATTCGTATCAGGAACAATATCGTCGGATACCGTATTAGCACACGTTGTCGTGCTGACAGTAATCTCCGGCTGTGACTCAGGGAGGCACACGGAGTCTTTCGAATGGACGGAACCGTCTTCGAAGTGTCCAGAATCAGCTAATGACGAGGGGAGATCCGTGTGCACGCGCTTTTCCGGCGTTTCCGGACTGGTGACGGGTTTCTCCGCGGCGCCTTCATCAGGAAGATCCTTGCTTGGCGATTCCGGCGAAAAGGGATTGTTCTCGCGCACGGTGAGAGCGTCGCTGCTATCCGTTCGCTCATCTGGACTGTTCAGAGAAGCCTTGTACAACCTCAACTCTACGACCTCCTTCGTCAAACGCAAGATCTCCCGGTCCTTCTCATCGATCTCCTTGCGCGCCTCCTTCAACAGAGCCTAAACATAACCGAGAGAGATATTAACAGCCACGTAATTTTGACAAAGAAAAAATAAAATTATAATAGTTAAGTATACGGGTAAATTTGAGTCTCGTTATTTCATCACCAATTCCAGATTAAATGATTGTTAATCAATTATGAAATTTAGACTTCTCAAGAGACTGAGTGAGTCACGAATGATATTTTCAATTCAAGAGATAAAGTATAATAAAGAAAAATTCAAGAGCAGAATGAGTAACGAATAAGATCTACAGTTCTTACACACCCTGGTGAGAAAATTTTTTATATTTTCTCAAAAATTTCCCCTAAGAGAATTTCTTATATAGTTTACAACATATTTAGATTTCTACAAAGAAATGTATTAGCGGGAAAAATATGTCAATATTATTTTGTCTGAGTTTTTCTGAAAAATGTTCCAATTCATATAAAAAATCTTAAAATTCTAAGAAAGCCTTGAAATTTCTATAGAAATTCTGATTAATAATAAAAAAACTCGATATTTTTTCACCAGGGTAATAGGAATTAATTACCTGAAATTTTCGGACTTGTTTAGCCGCTCTCTGAGTAGGCGTAAGGTATTGTTCGTTGTCGCCGACGTAATTCGAGCAGTGCACAACATATTTTCGCGACCGACCGGACCAGGTGGTGCCGTTCAACGCGAAGGAAGCATGCTCGCAGGCGCTCGCTGTGCTGCAAGCGCTGCTGTAACTCTTAACACTCTCGGCATCGCTGTCATCGTTGACTCCCGCTGTCGTCGATCCCCCAGAGGCCGCGTGACCTGGCCGCGGCCTCACCGGTGTCAGTGAGAGACTCTACGGTACATTATTCCATGAGCAACATCCGTCAGCGCGACTCATTAAAACAGATACGAATAGAATAGACAATATACAATGCGTATATGGTGATGTTAATTTTATAGATACAATCACACAGCGTTAAATTAATGATTGTTTGAAGTATGGGAATAGCTTCGAAACTTTCAGGAGATTTAAAGATTCCGCGTTGATAAAAATATAATCGTGCAGCTAAATCAGTAATTGCTTGAAGTATGGAAATAGAATTTTTTTTTAAGTAGCGTTTTTAAAGACTTAAAATATGTAACTTAATATAAGTTGACGTTAAATCGAATAGAATTCGAATTTTACGATAGTTACTAAACAAGTAAAGAAAGCTTCTTAAAAGCATATAAATGCTATTTCCAAAATTAAGTAGTACCAGTTTAAATTAAGTTCAATTAGAAGATATTAGAAATATGTAAGAAATATAATTTTGCATTGCATGAGTTTGTGCTCGTTGCCTCGTACTGGCTTTAATTTAATTCGTTATAACTAAATGTTTCGTTAACATTTTTCGATTACCTCCAAAATTGCTTAAGTGGAGTAGAAAAACGTAACTAATTATTTAGTTAACTTTTCTCGATTATTTTCAAAATTTCTAAGTCATTAGCTGACTTAAAAAAATAGCTATTTGTTAACAATAAATTAGAGAAAAGACCATTTACGGTCCAGGATTGGTAGTCTAATAATAATAATATCGTATGAATTTATACTTTTCCCAATCTCAGTAAACAAACTGCGCGCCGATTTTTCGCAATACATTCTTTACAGTGATTTAATAAGGATGCTTATTAGCATCAAAAATTAAATCGATTATCGATTTAAGTATGTGAATTTACTGTTCTAACAAAGCGCTATGTTTTAAGACTGATAAAAAATTGACGTGTAGGTTACTAAGTTTGGAAGAAGTATACAAAATTCACACAACATTATTATTATATAGGCTACCAAAAAGATCCAACCTGGACCGTAAATGGCATATTCTCTAATTCTAATTGGTTATATAACGGTTCTGTTTTACTTATTATTATTAACGTTATTGTTTTGTTAACGTTTTTCCTAGGTTCTTAGCAATGTTATAGAAAAAACGATAGTTAACTCTTCTGTTAACGCTTCTTAGTTATCCAAATTTTTTAGTTCTTTAAGGGAATTAAAAAAAAAATAGCTATTTCGTTAATGCTTCTCGATAATCTCCAAAATTTCTAGGTTCTTAAGCGGATTAAAAAAAAAAAACAACTAACTCTTTCGTTAACGCTTCTCAATTATCTCCAAAATTCCTAAGTCCTTAAGCAGATTAGAAAGAATAATAACTAACTATCTTGTTAACGTTTCTCGATTATCTCTAAAATTCTCAAGTCTTTAAAGGAATATTAGAAAAAAATAACTATTTCGTTAACATTAACTATTTCTCAATTATCTTCAAAATTTCCAAGTTCTAAGAAGGATTAGAAAAAAAAACCTAAAGGCACGGCTTATGTACAATGGCTCGTGGAAATCGATACGTGGGTGGATTTATAACGAGTTGCCTACCTGTTGGACGATTTCTTATATTTACTACACTTGGAATAATGACACTCATCTAGGGTATATCTACCCGGTCACGCAAAGGCGGACAGGCCGACTACAGGCTCAACGTGCGAATCGCCCGTTAATCAACGGAACTTCGAGCGTCGTCCCGAAGTTACGGTTAGCACAAAATAAAGGTAAAGGTCTCCATATCAAGATTCTGACACACGCCACACATAAAAGCCAGAGATAAATTTCTTCTATAGTTCTTGCCAAGGACTTTAGTGGATCTTAGAACATGAGCGGTAACAAATCGCACTTTAATGATCTTAATACGTTTGTCGTTGCGTGAAAGAATATAAAAGAAATATAAAAGAACGAATATATCGAGCATTCGTACAGAATATTCTATGCTAACACCGGTGTAACGAGCAAAGCGCGCGGAGCAATCCCGGTAGTGCTCTTCAGTTTTAAACCGTTCAATCTTTAATGCAATCCCGGGATTGCGGAGCTACCGTTTGCGTGTCTCTTTAGTTTTCGCTTCCTCGCGCGATACGATAAGAGATCGTAATCGCCGCCGAAGAAGCTCCTCGTCGAGCAGCCGTGCGTCAGTCGATACTTGAAACTTAACTCGGAGCAAACTCGTCTACGTAGTGCGTAGCGACGTTGACGATTCCCTCCGGACTTGGGAGACAATTCCTTCTAGGTAGGAGCTAGACGTGTCAGCGAGTTACTCACGAAGGATCGTTGTCGCGGCGAGTCGGTTCCATTCTCCGTGATGACCGGGAAGATACGATGATCCGGATGTTGATGCTGCTGCGGCGACTGCAGGAGGTGGTTGTGACGACGGGGATGGTGTTGGTGGCCGACCAGGGCCGTGCTGGCTGCGACGGCGGCGGTGGTGGGTCGCGGATGATGTGGTAGTAGTCGTTCGCCGCGCAAGCGCAAGCTCGCGGCGCGACGCAGAGCCGACGGCGACGGCCTCGGTATACGGGAGTCCAACGAAGACGGCGGCGAGGTAGTAGCTGCTCATAGTACATTCTGGTTAATAATTGAGTAGCGGGAGATGGAATCATGATCGAGAGCAGGCTATAGAGAAAGGTCTGTGCATCGCGCATTCGCTTTTAAAGATCAGAGATTTGAGGGTAATCTAGTACTTATTTCTTTAAAAGCTTCTTGAAAAAATCGATATAATCTTTTGAAGTCAATCTTCTTTCGTAATTAGGAATCTTCTTTCAATGAATGTCGATTAAACCACTTCCAACAATGAAATGGAAATTATACGCATTGATTTCGTCTTCCAAACTTTGCGATAGTCGCGATTGAGGTTTCAGCAACGTTTAATAAGTTTTGATATCGCCGATTTTGGGAGCTTTCCAGCAAACGACACAAATCGACACAAGTATCGTTTTATCTTTGTTACTACTCATTGCCAAAAAAGAAAGATAGAACGATGTTTGTATCGACTTGTGTCGCTTGCTGGAAAGCTCCCTTTAACTAATATTGTGAAATCTTGGGTTCTAAAGTTTTTAAATTTTAGAAAAAGATTTTATATTTATATGCCTTGATCGTATTTTCTCTTGATGGTAAATTCTTAATCGCAATCGCAGTTCAAGCACGTGGAAATATAAATTTTTTATAGATTATGTGTGAGCCTCGATTGCCTAAATTCGTTAGAATTTTAAAGTTATAGAAAATAAATGGCGAATGACACAATTTCTAAGTAAATCTAACAAAATCTAAAAACAGATTTCCATAACACGAGTTACAACGGTTGACAAACTAAGAGAAACATCAAGGAAAGACAAAACAATGATAAAATCAGTTTACAAAAGTGACATTTAGGAAAAACAAAAATAAAACTTTGAAATTGAATTGATTGAAAGTGACATTGGACAGTAGAGAGTAATACTCGAAACAATTACTTTTTCGGACGATTTTGCAAACCGAATAAAACGCCACGGTAAAGCAAAAATATTGAATTTATGATGCATTTGTCAATCCAGATTACGTGAAACAAACGAAATATTCAGAGCTCTCTCAAATCTATTATAATCTTCCAGTTGTTTGGAGCAAGATGTAAGTCTAATAATAGCGTCGGTCGCCAATTAATGCAGACGTAATCTTTGCGGAGGATTTTCCATCCTATACTTACTAGGGCTACCAGCTGATCCGGCATCTGACACGTGGGTAGAATTGGTGGTTGTGGCAGTGACCTTGTCGGTCGCGGTGACGGCACACGTTGCCAGGATCGGCGTCACGGGGGACGTCGGGATGATGGTCGCGGTGGCGTGAGTTGATTGACCCGGGTGAGTTGATTGCACCAGCTGCAAGGACTGATGCGGAGAAGATTCTTCGTTGTCGTAACGAGCCATTCTGTCCATCCCGGCTTATCTCGGCGCCGTGACGACTATCACCTGATGATGCGAGGAGAAAACATAGCTATTTATTGCCCGAGGAATTCAGAATTTGAACATCTAAGATCTTGAGAAAAATGCGTAAAACGAAATCTTGAAACGAAAGATCGCAATGGTAAAATGCACGTGAAATGATTCGTCCGGGATTAACGCAAGATATAATTAATATTTTACTTTATTACTGTTAATATGTACATTCTGTATTCTGTACGCACTTGTGCGAATATAGATTGAAATAATCTAACAAGCAATCTTCAGTTCTTTTTTTCAGTCGAAATTTGTGGAATAAATATATTTATTTGTGCGCAATCACGACGTTGTTATCTCTCAAAGTTTTGTCTAATCTTTCCTAAGGTCATATCTAGCTCGTAAAAAAACAATGTCAGAGTCAATGATGCATCGGCGTGCTTATCTCAGCAAGCAAATTCTTCCAGCCCGTCGTAGTAATATAAATGATCCTTCGGCAAACAGGAAAAGGTGGTGTTGGCCGAGGTCGAGGACATATCGATTGAACGGAGGCGCTACCGTGCGCTGAACCTAGGTCAGTTGTCTATCTGAACCAGTTCCTGGTAAAGATTTTTAGAGAGCGCAACATATTGTCTGCGAATTCCGGACGAATCTCAAATTCATTCTCGCCCGTGAAATTTTACTTTATCTAAATTTATCTAAATAAAAGACTTTTTCAAAAATTACGAGATTTAGAAAAAATGCGTAAGTGGGCGTAAAGAGTTCTCCAATAAAAAATTAAATTATTAAATAATTAAATTAAATTAAATTAATTGAATTTTTTGTTATCTGTTTTTGTGTATGAATTAAATTCACATAGATCTATTTCTAATTAAATTTTTCTATACATAAGAAGAAAAAAAATCAATTTTAATAAATTAGGTACAGAGATAGTAAATAATCTGCATTAGAAATAATAACTCTATATAATAAATAAATAAATACAATAAATTGCGCACGAATTCGAAGCGCTGCACGTTTTTCGCGGATAGTCACAACGTCACAACAGCAAGGAGCTCGAACACGCAAGTGCTCGAAGTCATTCGCACAATTGTCGGGTGCATTAAGCGTGCCGTATACAGTTGTTAACTCCGCGTGTAGGTGTACTTCGTCCTTGCGGTAACCGCGGAAGCCGGATACGAGACCGTAATTTCGCGGCGAACTTTAGAATGATTAGCAGAATTACGTAAAAAGATTTTAAAGGGATTGTGCGTGTGAATTCCGAACGTGAATCTCGAATTTGCTCTCTCGAAATGTACAAAAAAATCCAACAGACGTATACAAATAAACCGACGTATAAAAAAAAGTACGTATATTATATAATTACCCAATTTTTCATGAATACATAAATAAGAAATCGCAAGTTGAAATAACGGTGATCGTAAGTTATCATTTTATAGGACAAACAGTAGAGAATTAGATAAAGAATTGTCTGTTTTGACGCATTCTTAGAACTTAATTTAAAAAAAAAAAAAAACAAATTGCATAAAATTGTAAAATAATATTTAGTTAAAGTTCCTAAATATGGTAAATTAAAAAATCATGTAAGCAATCACGAAACGCAACGAATCCATTGTTGTAATAAGAGATTCAAATAATTTCGCACAAAATAATCCGTGATTTTTAAAATAAAGACTTTTAGCTAACTAGCATAGAAGCGAAGTTACTTTACAAACAAACATCGATCCGGTCGAATTCGTTTGCATTCGTTTGACTTAGTTTGAAGGTCTCTAATTTGACTTATTCTGGACGTTCCTTTATTTCGTTCATATTTCACAAAAGAAAATCCAGACTCGCGATCTCCTTCTCGTGACGTAGAACTTTTCAAGTTTGTAATGCAAACACAGAATATTTCAGTTTGGGAGCGTCTCATTACGTAAATCGATCGTAACGCGCTCGGCGGTTTCGACATCGCCGAGTTTACGAAAGGTAAATTAAAGCCGAGAACGCGGAATAATCTCCGCTCGACTTCGGGTGTCGAAAGGACAGTCGAAATGAAGTGAAAGGCGCGAAATGAAGGAGAACCGCGACCTTTATCGAAATAAAATAATCGATCGGGGGCCACATTCTATTTCAAGGATATTCTGCGACATTATGCCAGCGTTTGCTTCGCCGACACGGGGCGGGTATCCCCGATACCATAAGGCGACCGTAAATAATTTCGCGTAAAAACATTCATTTGTTTACAAATACGCGCCACGCAAGTCACGTACTTCCGCAACCCCCGCAAAATCCGCATTCCTCCTTAAGCCTGTAGCACCAGACCACAGATTGAGATTGAAATTGGATTGAAATTTAACCAATTAGAGTATTACAGCAAAGTTTACTAATAAACTTGAGATTAGTTTTCACTATTCTAATTGATTAAATTTCAATCCAATCTCAATCCTAATCCGCGGTCTGATACGGGCTTTACTCGCTTTTGCCCGAATCAATATACAGAATTAATGCGTCTGCAGTAACGTCTCGCTCTCTATTGGACAGGGCAGGGAACATATTGATTCGTTCATTCAATAATGCAATTTGTTATTTCTGCATTGGCTGAAGATAATTAGTTTGTCTACTTCCGCGATCCGTTGCCCCTCGCTCGCTTTTCGCTGGAATCAATACCCAATCTAATACAGTCAGTTAATTGAGATTAGATAATTTGTTGATTACATTTCTATAGGAAATATAATTAACAAATTTGTTAATTTGTTAATTATATTTCTATAGGATTGATATAAAAACCTTAACAGCAGAGAGGATAAAATAATGAGAGCTGAGAACAAAAAGAATAATCTTTTACGATACTCGATACATTTGTTTAAACAATTAACCCGTTGTGGTCACACCTCTTAAAAATAACGTAGTGGTCACACGGGGTCCAATGGACCCCACAACAGTTTCCATTTGCGTTCTTTTTGATGTATCGACTCAAACCTTGAACTGGAATTAATTTATGACTTCCTCTTGATAATCCAATAATTTAAAAAATTTTTTTATGTTGAAAAAACGCGAGAAAAAAAATTTTTTTTCGAGAAATTTGACTTTTTTTACAAAAATATTCATCAAAATTTTTTGAGATAGAGTAAAAAAACTTTGTGCGTTTTACTTTCAAAATAGTATACTTTTGGAAAAAAAAAAAAAAAAAAAAGCCTGGGGTCCACTGGACCCCATGTGACCACAACGGGTTAACATATACAATGCGTTCTGGCATATTGTAAAATTTCAACAAATAACACGAAATATTTTTGAACAAACAATATATCGATAGATCGATAAAGTGATAAATCCTTTAAACGAATGGGTCGATACTTTTCGCGCACGCGAACGCACTCGAGCGACCGATCGACGCGAAATATTAGCGACGCGCGCGTTATATAACGCAAGTAAAGTATAATCTGGTATAATTATAAGTAAATTGGCGCGTTAACGGAGTGGGGACTGGGAAACGAAACGCTCGCGATTAACATCGAGCGAATCCGAAGTGTATTCCTATTCGTAGAGCGCAAAAAGATAGCTATCGGCTTGCCAACGTGCTTCTCACGCTCGACGACGTTTCCACTTTCGTGAGAAAATATCGATATACCGTCGGCGACGATATTTTTCGGTCGCGTATTTTTTTTTTGTCAATCCATCGGTGAGATATCTCGCGATAAGGCGCGTCACGTCGTAGATGACGTAGACTATTAATTCTTTTCAAACATTACTTGCTCTTTCCGCAACGGTCAGAAATCAAACGTTGGAACTGGAAGGGAAAGAAAATGAACGAGACGAGATTGGAGGGAACTGGGAGAACTGCGGACGCGACTGCGGCTGGAAAAGAAGCTGGGGAAAAAAAAAGCGACCGTTGTCAATTTAACGCGAGTGTCGATTGTCGGCGCGTATCGTTCAAAAACTGCTCTCTCCACTCTCCACGCTTTCGTCTTTCTCCTCCTCCACCTCTTTCCCGCCGCCCTCGCGCCACGCCGACGAGTCGCTGCGTAACCAGCGTAACATATGTAGCGATCGTGGATCCGACGGACCGACGATTGAGGGACTGAGGAGTGAGGAGAGCGAGGGAGGGAATCGCGAGATGCTCGCGCGCGGGCACTCACCTCGGTGAAAAGCGCACCGGTACCGTGGGCGAGACACGTTCGATCATTCGCCGTTTGTTTTTCCCGAAGCTGCAGATTTCCTCGAAGCGGAAGCAGGCGGCGTCACAATATCCGTTCGCGAGAATCAACAAATCCGCGAGGAAAGACACTTGGCTTGACGCACTCACTGTCGAACACCGACTGTCACTCCGGACGGGGGCCACGTGGTCCTGCCGCAGAAGTCGGAATGAGATTCGCGACTGCGAGATCGGGCAACCCCTCCCCCTCTCCCGCCTCTCACCCACCACCCCCTCACGTGCTCTCTCTCTTTGTCGAACCACCGGGCGAGAATCGAGAGATTCGATTGTCTTCTCGGTCGCACACTCGCACGGCGCGAACGTTGCCGCAAGTGCCGCAACTCGGCCGCAAATTCGGACGCGACGAGCTGAAGTACGCGCCGCTTGAGGAAAGTCAACGTCACACTGTGAGACCGTGACACGGATCGCGCGCGGGCACGTGACGTCGGCGACGACAGAGTTTTTAGCGATAAATATCGGTCGTGCATACGCCGTGTATAAGTACCGCGTCGACGACGATGACACTAATCCAACTAATCTAATGACTAATTTTGACCGCCCGCGGCATCTGTCGACGATGAGGCGAACGTTGTTGCGCTGCTCGGGCAGTCTCGGGACTATTCGGAGAGGCTCGGTAGTAGAGTTTGTTTTTTGTACCTTGCACTTTTTACACTTGAAATGAGATACACATATCGATTATTAGAGGAAGAAGAGAGACGGAAAGTGCAGAAAGTTCTGCTACAAAGAACTATATTTAATTCTATTCAATTTGATTCAAATAAGAGTCTAAACACCCTCGAGTTTCTTTTATCGATCAATTTCGCGTAAAGCAAATACGATGAGAGACTAATTGCCACATTCAAACATATAAAAGTTAAATTTGAAAAAGAAGAAAAAATAGACAAAATCAGTTAGAGAGGAAATTCTATTTACAGTCATTTCCAGACTTAAAATTGGCTTATACTTTTTTCAAACTCATTGTCAGTAAACAGCGTGCTGATTTTTTGTCACTTTTTAAAATATATAGCTGGTTGAAACAATAAATCCATATATTTAAATAGACAATTGATTTAATTTTTGATGCTAATAAGCATATATCCTTATAAATTTGAAAAATATTGATTTTTAAGAGAAATGGAAGTTTGTATAGTAATAAATAAATAAATACATATATGTTTCTTACAGTTAAGATTTTAATTTTCTGTCCCTCCAAGCCACGGATAATGAGAATTTTCGAATCAATTATAATACTTACGTGATGATTTTTAGAACGATAAATTTAAATATCGAGACTAACCACTAATAGATCTAAAACAGTGTGCATGCTGTTTTTTTCGACTTGCAAAAATATTTCTAGTGTAAAAAAACATGTCTAGTTTGACGCATCTTCCACAACATGTTTTTAAACGTAGACGATCTATTATACACGAATGACTTCACTTAAAATCGGCAATTATATAACCGGCAGAATTGCGTAAAGCAAAAATTTTAATTTATACAATTGGTTATCTCTAATCCAATTTTTTTCTATATGTTAAACGACAAAAAATTAATTATATTTATGTTAAAATAATTGTTTGATAAGTTAATTACCGACGTAAAACATAAAACTTATAATGACAATGATTTCTATCTGAAAGTTAATCGCCGATTAATCTAACTGATGGAGTTTGGTTGAAGTTACCCAAAATTCGTTGTTTGCAGCTGCATCATACTATATTTTTTGCATTTAACATAAAATAGATACATATAATTACTATAATTAGATAGAAAAGAAAAAGAGACAAGATGAACAGAAAATTTAGAACAAATCCTTCAATCATTCAAAGTTGGCTAATCTGGTTGTGTAATCGACGCAAACATGGCTGCTTCCTTGATCAGAACGTGTACGACGTTTAGGTGATTATTTCTTTTCCTGCCGACATTGTCACGATGATCAAAGTCACATCTTCAAAATTTGCTCAGTATGTGTATCTCGTTATAACAACATTGTGAGAAATTGAGAAGATTCTTGCAAAAGAGAAACATAACCTTTCGCCCTGCAATCAGTTATCAGTTTTACTCTTTAAAAATGTAGAATATAATAAATATATTAATATATATTTAGGTATATTTAAAAAATGTATATTTTATTGCAATAATAATCTATATAATCTGGTTTAATGGCCAGTGAATTTTCTGTAATAATTTTATATCACAATTTACAGTTTACTGAGGCAGCCACTCTGCAAAGTTGTCAGAAGCGATAACGTGAGGAAATACATGTTACACAGTTTGTTTCTCACGTGCACGCAATGCCAGCGTTTTCATACAACCCCACAGTATTTCAAGGGCAAGCCAAAGAGGAAGGTAAATCTTTGGTTTCTTATCTATACGAGAACATTTTAACTCTCGGATATTGTTATATCGAAATTTGTCTGACAGATAATTCCTTTCACCCAAATCAAACCGAAGGCAAAACTGCCAGTTGTGGATATATGGAACAGAATGACGGTGTCAGAGCTGGCAACGTCCACAGAAAGGAATATAGATGATGTCATGGAAGCAATTTCTCTGACTGATTCAGTTGGACATTACAATAAGAATACTGTCGTAGAGGATCCGAATGTATTATACAAAGCTGTGCGGAAACTTGGTTTAAAGTTTAAAGTGATTCCTAGTCCCGATAGCAAAGTGGAGAAGAGTACAAAGGACTACAATGTTGTTAAGCGGTATTGATAGAACTAACCGTCTTATGTCCATTTCTATCAACGCAGGTTAATTTTAATTTTGGTTTAACTTACCTGTCATCTTTTCCTAGTTCTAAAAGTTAGAAAAAGATAGAAAGTAAGTTAAACCAAGATTAAAGTTAATCTACATTGGTAGAAATGGGCATTAGTCAAATATACGATAATATAATAATATGTTTGTATTGTTTATATTTTTATATTTTGCATGTATTTTATTCTTCAGGCCTCCACCGGATGAATCTGTACTGATAAAACGTCGTCCAGTGGTAACGATTATGGGCCATGTTGATCATGGCAAAACTACGTTGTTGGATACATTACGTAACACATCGGTTGTAAAGACGGAGTTTGGTGGTATCACTCAACATATTGGAGCTTTCAATGGTAAATAGTACTATCTTATTCAAATATTCGTCGTACAGTTGGATTAGTTCTCTTGGAAATGGTCTCTAATATTCTGATTGACAGTAACGTTGAAAACGGGGGAAACAGTTACATTTTTGGATACTCCTGGACACGCCGCCTTTAATATTATGCGAATGAGAGGCGCGCAAGTGACTGACATTGTAGTATTAGTGGTGGCAGCGGATGACGGCGTAATGGAGCAAACCATAGAAAGTATACATATGGCAAGAGCTGCGAATGTCCCGATTATTGTAGCTATCAACAAAATTGATAAACCGGAAGCCGACATTGTACGTGATTTTGATATTCATTTTAATGAATAATAGAATCGTAAAAAGTAGAATAACATAATTTATAAACATGTATTTCAGACAAGAACGCAAAAAATGCTTGCGCAACAGGGGATTCAAGTGGAGGCAATGGGCGGAGACATTCAAAGCATTAACATATCAGCTTTGCACGGAACCAACCTAGATATCTTGACAGAGGCTATAGCATTGCAAGCCGAACTCGTGGGATTAAAAGGTGACCCGACGGGGTTAGTCGAAGCTGTCGTAATCGAGTGTTCTACCGATCGTCAACGTGGCAAATTAGCGACAGCTTTAATTCAACGTGGCACTTTAAGAAAAGGTGCACTTCTTGGTAAGAGCAAGATATTTCTCCTTAAACATGAAACACAAAGAAAAAATAGAGAAGAAAAGAGTTTCTATTAAAAATAACTAATTTAATTCCATAAAACGAGCGGCACTTCCAATTTTCTTCTACTTGAAAGTACAGCAATTACTCTTAACATAAAATGGTTCCATATGAGTTTCCAACTTTCCATGTGAAGCGAGGTTCACTGCTCGGTGTGAAACGAAGTCTATTATTGTACGGTTCCACATGGGTTTCTAACTTTCCACGCGAACTGTACAATGATAGACCTCGTTTCGTACGGTAAACACCGGAACGGTGTGGGGTGGACCTCGCTTCACGTGGAAAGTTTGAAACCTATGTGGAACTATTTTAATGCAATGAAGTGTAACGAAATGAAACTAAAACCATGACCTCAACAACATATGTCAAGATCAAGGCCATTGGAACTAATTCCAGTTGGAAGTTGCGCCCATATAATGAATAAATCCCAAACGAGCTTTTTCATGTCTTTTATTTCTTTATTTCTAATACATTTTAAAGCATTTTATATTTTCGTAGTTTCGAATGTTAACCTAATAAAGTTTTATGTTTGACAATAGTGAGCGGGTTAACGTGGGCCAAAGTAAGAGCCATGTTTGACCATTCCGGAAATCCAGTTATGGAGGCCAAATTGTCTGACGCGGTGCAGATTATCGGATGGAAGAATTTACCCACTGCCGGAGATGAGATATTAGAAGTTGAGAATGAGAGAAAGGTACGCATGGTAATGCGATATAGGGAAGCGGAGAAAGCTACACAGCTGGCACAAGAACATAAAATTGCAGCGGATAAAAAGCACGAAGAATATCTGAAAGTAAGTTTTCTATTAATATAATGTAACATTAGAGATACATTATTATGTGGCGTTATTTATCTTATATGTTTATCTGTTACATTATTATTTGATAATTGTAGGAATATAAAGAACATCTGGCAAAGAGAAGAGCACTTGGCAGATACAGGAAGCTGATAACGCCTATTAAAAATGAAAATCCCGATGATGAAATACCCAAACTTAACGTTGTTATAAAAGGTGATGTCGCTGGCTCTGTAGAAGCTATATTAGACGTTTTTAATACATATGGCAGTGACGACAAGTGTCAATTAAGTGTCATCCATTATGGCGTTGGACCTGTTGCGGAGACGGATTTACAAATGGCAGACACATTTGACGGTAGGAATATATGTCATGGTGTATTAATTAGTATTATCTATAAATGTCAACATCATGAAATGTTTATAGCCATCATATATCCTTTTAACGTTGGTGTAACGAAAGACTTGCAACAAGAAGCTAATAAAAAAAAGATATCGATCCGTCCATACAATGTGATATACAAGCTTATTGACGATATTAAAAAGGAGCTAAATAAGAGACTTCCAATGGTTGATGCTGAAGAAGTGCTAGGTATGAGAGAAGTCATGTTAGAGTAGAGTAATTATAAATTTATTTTCTTGACCTTACATTTTTTTACAGGCGAAGCAAATGTATTGCAAGAGTTCGAGATCACAGATAAGAAAAAGAAAGTAAAGGTTGCGGGTTGCCGGTGCGTCAAAGGCGTTCTCAAGAAGGACGCGATGTACCGCTTGATGCGTGGACAGGAAATCCTGTATACTGGTAAAATACTTGATTGAAAATCGTGAAAGAAAAACAAAATGACATTTACTTGTCTTTTTAGGGAAATTGGTGTCAATGAGACATTTGAAAAATGAAACGGAAACGATCAAGACTGACGTGGAATGCGGCTTGAGATTCGAAGATTCCACATTGTCTTTCAAAACCGGGGACGTTTTAATTTGTTATAAAATATACCAAAAACCACAAGAAACTGACTGGGATCCCGGCTTCTAAAGGATTTTAAAGATCGCAAGGTTAAATCAAGCAAAACGATATTGTATATTCTCTTCATTCGAGTTGGTTATTTAGTACAGGAATAACGGAAATATTTTCGAATTAAGTACAAATTTATTTATTATTGCCTGAGACTCGCAATCTTCTTTTACATTCTTTTTACATTTTTCTTTGACATTCAGTTTAATAATTTCGCTTCGTGAAGGTATCTGATTCTTGAATACGCAATTTATGAGATTAAGACAGCCAAGCTATACCGTTAAGATTGATCAGAATTAAAAGTATCGGTGAAAATTCTGTTCTTTGGATGTTCACATTAAACGGAATGGATATTATGCACTTTTTAAACATATTTTTTTCTTTTATAATATATCAAGCAATGTACAGCAAAATATGTTGGTCACGCTTTAAAACATAGCTTGCGGTAATCTTAATTTCATTGCCCGTAAAATCGATCTCTTCTGAATTTCCGCGAAATTTTATCTTTACTCCACGTGTGTGTGAAGAAGACTAAGCTTCCGGTTTTGGGTCCATTAGATCACCCTGACAGAATATTCGGGATGTAGCACATTAGGACGCGTAAGTCTCGCGAAAACGACGTTGAAGATGCTGATACGCCGTGAGGACGCTACGCTTTTTTTTCTGGAGGCGGCAAGGGGTTGTTTCCTGATTGGCTATGGTAATCTTTGTGTCTAACGGCTCGATAGGAATATCGTCGTCTGGATGCACAAAGAAGGCGATGGAATGACGGCCGCGACCACAGTGTTCCGGCACAACGACGCGATGTCTGAGTGCTGGAAGCTGCCCGTTGGTCCAGTGTCCTAGTAACTCGCCAGTGTTCACCAATATGGCGCCTGGGAGATGACCCACTCTAGCCCATCTTTCCCCAGTTTGTATTTCAAGGCCACCCTCGCAGTCCTGAAAATATGTCATTGTCTTACGTAAATTATAGAATATAATTAATAATAATTTGTAATTAGCAATGATCTGTACATATATATGTATACTGTACATAATACAACGTTACTTTTATATTGATTTGATATTCTTCAATCGTAGCTTACAATGCGTAGCTTATAACTGCGTTTAAATCATTTCTGTTTTAATATTTAATAATTCATTATCTTTTAATGCGTGCCTAATACCTTCTTTGCGTTTCTAAATATCTTCACGTTTCATTTGATAGCGTTGTTAGAGCCGCTTATCGTAAAACGATTGCGCACCGTTTTGTGCGAATGAACATGCCGAGTTATCTCTGTCAGCTCCGACAAAATTATAAAGATACGTAGAATTTACGACGCGTTACGCGCAAAGCGTCATGGAACAGATTTTCTAGAAAATTATTTACGACCTTGTAGCCTTCTGGTGGACAGACTACAACAGGCAACTTAAGTTTCAAGCCCGTAATGCCGCAATCTGCATACCTGCGCCAACAAAGTGAAAGTGCCATAGTCGCAATGAGCGCCGCATCGGGTCAGTCCTTGTACCGGTGCACCGAGTGGCGGATAGTAGAGGAGACGCATGGTGGACGCGTTGCCAGGGCCGAGTATGTGCGCATGCTTCGACAGCAGGAAGTCGTGGGACTGTTCCAAACCCACGGACAGAGCCTGCAGCGAACCAGGTTTTCCAACGTTTTATTAGATTCTATATGGAGAGATCAGACTATTCTCTCGTTGATTAATGAAATTACTGAGAATTATAATTCAAAGATCAAACACACGGCGAAGCTCTTCGCAGGAAATCTCCAACCGCCAAAGAATAGATAAAATGATAACGATAGAGCAGAGATGCTCGCAAACAGAGATAAAATAATAAAGAGAGATCCAGGAATTAAATCCATAAACGAAACGTAATTATTATTCAAGGATTATTACGTTAAGGAGCATGGTAGCCAGTTGCTTAAAATCACGTGTCAATTCGTCCACCGCCGATCTAAATCCATGAACCTCATCTTCCGGCAGGATTCGTCCACATCCGGTCACGTTGAAAGTATGGCGAAGTTCCATCTCGTCCGAAAATCTAATCATAGGAAAATGAATTCAATTTAAATAAAACGCCAAAAGCTTTTATACTCGTATGAGTAGTACCCGCAAATTCCATAAGTACATTGAAAAATTTAAACTGTTAAAATAATTATTTAAACTATTTAAAATATGCATATCAAATAATTTACAGTAAGTAAATAATTTACAATAATTTTACATTTATGAGCAGCATATAATTATATAATGATCAATTTTGTTAGAAATGTTTTTAGGATAAAGGCCGAATTCAAGCGACACACACGCTGCCTCTCGTACTGTTATGGAGCTACAAACCGCGGTTGGTTAAGAGAAGAGAACGCGTTCATTAAATCGAATTGCGGCGAAGTGAATTACGCGAACAATTTGAGAATGCAATTTTCCAACTTACTTCTCCATGCCCGGCTTAACGTAACCGTGATTATCCGGCGAAACGCGCTCGTATTTTGCTCGCGTTTCCTCCGGCAGCTCGCAAAATGCGTCTAGGGCTCTGTAAGCTGCCTTCATCTGCAAACACAGAAAATAGATTTACAGCGAAGCTTGCGAGGCGGGACATTCGTGATGAGACTTTTCGCCTCGACGCCGTCATCCAGGTGTGAACGAGACGCAACGCGGGCAAAAAAAAACGGATATTTACGCGACGATAAGGTTTGCTTTCGATGAAAATTATTGTCCCCGAGAATGGAGATTCGCGTATCTCCTGTATCTCGACAACCCACGACAACCGTAATCGCGTCTTTCAAATTCTGCGTTACGGTCCTACGGACAATGTGCGTAACGCGGAGGTATACATCGCGAAGATATCTAGATCATTCCGGTAACGTTCGGCAATAAGCAGTTTCGCGAATGACGAATTGGATACATGGAAAAAAAGAAATGTTAAATCAAAACTTATATACTCAAATTAAAAATTTCAACTTTTATTGCTTGGTTGAACTATATAAAATGACCTTATTCAGGCAAGTTTCCTTCGTTTAATGCAATATAATCTCATTTCAAAATTTCCACGTTGAAATTAAAGATATTTTCAAATTCTGTGTATCTTTGACTTTGATTAACTTTCGCTTAATTGGGGATGAATATTCCAACAAAAACAGAGAAAAAAGAGAACAGAGCGCACCGAGGAATTGACATTTTTTTGCGAAAAGACGTCAGAGAGCCAGAATTTGCGATATCGCTCCTACGTCATCGCAATTGTACAAACAACCGCACTCAAAAATAAATCGTCGGGAAACGATACGCTCGCGGGCGTACGCTCGCATACGTTTTCTTCAATTTTTCACGCGAGTGATCTCATTTCAAACTTAACAATTCAAATTGCTCGGGTAATCTCGCGTCGAGTTTTGACGGAAACTTCTTTCGAACTCAGTCCGCGCACGTTTTTTTTCTTTTTTCGCAGTATTAAATACGCGGCACGCCGCACGTTAAATGCTGCATAATTGCATAAGGTTTCATAACACGTCGCGCTCGCGGACACTCCGCGCGGTCTCCGATTCCCCGAATGTCAGGTAATATCGAGAAGGTGGTATCACGAGGTCTCGGAGAGTACCGAACAATGATTCACGCGCGTTTGACGCGCGGGTCATATGTCACGCGGCGCAACGTGGTTTTCTTAGCCACACACTGACGGTACACACGGTACCGCTGGCGGACGACGATCGAGCATGATGTGTATTCTGGTATTATCGATGGCGTAATATCGCATGCGGCGTTACATAATGACGGAACAGATTGCGGCGGAGGAAAAAAACCCCGAGGATTATCGCTCCTAATTCCGTCACGAAATAATCGCGTAGTCCATGTCCGCACTCGCGCTTATCCGCGAGCTATTTTAATAACTAGAAATGGAAACCAATACACAGAACAAAGTGCACCGTCGTCGATTGCGACAAGCGTGGCTTTTGTTTTAGTACTTATATTCCGTCCGCGTTATTATACTGTCCGTCACAAGCGGCTTCACGGTTTGAGATTCGAACCGATCCGTGACAGTCGGACAAAAATGATCGAAGACGATTTTTGTTCTCGCAAATTGTGATCGATATCGTCGGAATATGTGATAAAATATTAAGGAACCTTCTCAGAGCCGGAAACTTTGCTGAAAATGATAGAAATGCGTTCTACTTTAATATTAATTACAATTCATAAGAAAATAAGTGATTAGTAATTAGTTAATTAAAGTATAATCAGAAGTAACAATAAACTCTGTGTATTAAAATATTATCTGCCTATCTGGACATGATACTATATTATTCGTGGTACTCTGTTTTGACGTTTATAATTAGTTAACAATAGCGATAATCTTTTTCTTCTTAAAGCGGAAGCTTGCCCGGGCAAATCACACAATCAGCTCAATCAAGATAGAAGCCAACGATTAATCTTGTAAAAATCGGCTTTCTGCATATCTAGAAAAAGTATCAAGGAAGAGAAAGAGCCAATCCCTGAGCTACTCCAACGTTAATTCTGATAATTAATCTACCGATTGATAACACGGACAAACGAAAAATCGAGTCCGTATTGAACAAAGAGCACGTCTGTGAAATTTAATAACTCGTCACGCTCATCCGGTTATATTTATCTTAAGCGATAAGCGATTGTTCGCGTTTTAATGAATCTCCTTACTACTGCTCATTAGTGTTCGAGGACTGAATTAAGATCCTCCTTCGGGCGATATTTTACAAAGGTATCCTTGAGAAATTGTCTTATCTTCCTGCGATGATGTTAGCGGCACGTAATGCACATTTTTGCGGCGCGATATGTGTTTCCTCGCGCGTGCATATACGCGAATAATATTCCTGCATCAACTCATTGTCAGCCGCGGTTACTCATCGACGTACACTCGCGATTGTCCAAGTCCGTAAGTCGTGGGGAGGATTATCGCGCGAAACTGCAATATAACTGCGGGTGATACCACTGCTGGCCGCGGTATCACCCGCAGTTATGTTTCCGATAGCGGGTATGAATACTATGAATGCCGGCAAGGCCAATACGTGCAACAAGTATTGTGTTTATCGTAGGCCCTTGAAAACGCAACCGCTCCTTGGTCGCGGCTCTAGATATCGAATTCCGAGATAAGCGTACGATAACGAAAGGGAAAACAGTATTTGATTTATGTAAATGTGAATTATGAAACTCGAATTCCTCTGTAAAAGCTCCCGCTTATCGAGCATTACTGTTAACTAATTATAAACGCCAGAACAGTGTACCACGAATTAATATATGGTGTATATACCAGGTAATATTTTACTTGCGATTATACTTTAGGTGACTAATTATTGCTAATCACTTGTTCTTGTGTATTAATATTGAAAGTAGAGTGCATTTCTGTAATTTTCAGCAGTTTCCGGCTCTAAAAAGATTCCTCGATACTCTTTCTCAAATATTTGTACAAAATAGTTGGCCAGAAATAACGTGATCATTTTTTTTACATATAAATTTTTGTATTTGATGTTATTTCAATAACAAATTGTAAAGGCGCCGTAAATTACTCGACTCGTTACAGTTGACGCTTGAAATTATTCGGTCACGACGGTAAGTTGCGACAGCGCGTGATATCGACGACACATTTGCGAGCGACGGAAATCGGCAAGACCGACAACACCGGCGCCTGATCAATCAAAGGAAGCCTCGCCTGATCAATCAAAAGGAAGCGATCGCTAATCATTTCGCAAACGCGCGTTTCTCTCCCCCTTTTTTCTTCTCTCGTTATACCTTGCACTCTGGAATGCCGTGGTTGACGAGCAAGGCCAATCCTTTCTCGGACAGCGCCCTTAGCAGTTTCGAGGCCACCTGCTTCACGACTCCCTTCTGAGGACATCTCTCCGTGCCTGAAATAAGCAAAATGCCTGAAATAAGAGAACATTTGAGTACAGAGACGAGAAATAAGATTGCGCGGAAAGAAAATCTACTGCGCTTATGTATAGGTATTTATCGCATTTGCCAAAACGATTATCTTTATTTATTTTTTGGAAATTCTAATTGAGCAATTCCAATTATTGTGTTGAGCGCGAATTTTTAGTGCAACTGATATATCAAAAGATGCAAAATAATGTCAACTATTGTATATTGTGTATTATGCACGCAATATTCACAACTTAAAGTATACGTTATATTATATAAATATAATTATGTGTATATTTCATAATATATATATTAAGAATATATAATACAAATATATACAGTTTGTTTGTAAATGTTGAAAAGGCTCAGATTTCGCGAAGATTTCGCCGAACGCTGATTGCAGCTTAAGGAAGCGTTGGGATATTCAGTATTAAGTTTCTGGAGTCCGGGCTCTAAACGATACGTGATACCGATGCTGGCTGCGCACTGATGATCGATTAAGTCTTTCGTTTAATAAACGTTCATTGACATTGAAACAGATATTGTGATAGTAAAGTGTAAGGAAAACAAAACTGGCTGACAGATTCATCTTTCTGTTGTACTTACATACGATCGCTAATTATATCTTATGATTGCAATCGTGTCACATTTATAATTTCTTATTTTTTTACATTATTAAAACAATAAAATAATATTAAAAATGTTTCGCTACTGTTCGACGCAATCAGTTGCCATATAAAGATGCGCTAAAAAATATCGGTTCTCCCATTCTGTATGATCACAAAGCAGAATAGAACAACTGAAGTGAAATGTTAACGAAACAATTATAAAATTATGCATACTGAAATTATAACGTATGAATAATCTCACGTTTAGTCACAAGTTAATTTCGATTTACTTATGCATCAGCGTAGACGTTGCAAACGGTGACGTTAATGGCATTTATTGTGTCGTGATTTCGCGTCAAAAACTGTTAGCAGCAAGCCTTGGAAGCCGACGCGAGGTCAGGATTCTCGAGAAAGCCATCGTCCCCGAGTCCGCCTCATGTCGTAACGAGATCCGTCCATGAGCGATGAGGAGAGGAGAAACAAACCGCAGATATATGCTCCGCATGCGTATCGCGCGATTATTACTTACATTTGCCCGGCCAGCGTTCACTCGATTAAACTCTTGTTCTCGGTTATGTATTTGGCGATTAAGTTTTATTCTCGGTTATGCGTTTGACACTATAAAAATTATCCTCGAACTCTCGCGGTCTTTCAAAGAGGATGACCTCGGCAGTCTCGGCACAGCGGTTTACGATAATCTGCGACAAACGTATCTTTTTTAATCGATCACTATCGATTAACTTGGAAAATTTAGATTTTTTTTATTGTTTATATGAAAATTAATATCGATAGAATAAAAAGACGTATGGCATTTTATGTAATTTTCTTTTACGTGAATGTACAATAATATACTTAATTTTCTTATACACGAGTATAAGAAACATGCGATATCAACGAAAGAAACATTATTACTTATAGCATGTGCCGTATATACTAAGATCGACACAACCGTCGTTAAGGAAAATATATATGAACGCGATATATATACGATTGTGTACTTTAATAAATTTCCCGGCGTCGTGCGTACTCCGTGCAGTTGACGTCAGCCGGACGTAGCGTTCTTCCTACTTTGTTTGCTATTTTGGCAGCATCGCGACGCAACGATGACGACAAAGTCGGCAGAAGGACTGCTTTCGTTTCACCGTCCTCAAGGCATACATCGGCCACGGGCAAGACGCCAAATTCGTATCGTGCAAAAGACGAAAGAGTCATCGGCGACAAAGCCGTATCAATACCGCGAAACTATAAGAGAAACGTCGGCCTTTAATAATAGATCACGGATGTCTAATCCCGATCGAACTGCAACGGCCAGCTGGTGATGTTTAATCTCGATTGATCTATATAACGTCTATGCGTTCTGTCGCACTCAGAAAGAAATGTTTCGAAACATCTAACGCGATGGAATCCATCTCGCCACGTGACGGAAATGTATACAATCATATCGCAGCGACAAGAAGAGTTTATCGAATCTGTTCTGATCTGTCGAACGAGAAAAAGTTCAATTACTATACTTTATTTAAAAATGTTTCCCTACTTTAATATGAATAATAATTTGATATAATTTTAATTTCTCCCAGTTTTAAATATCACTTGTTTTTCTCTTTATTTCAGCGAACATATTATTAATAAGGTTCGAAAAGTAAAATGTTACTTCATATTTCATGAGAAAAAAGTAGAACAAAAATCACAATTGTTATATCGATAATTACGCCAATTGTTTATAGTATTTAACTTTTTGCAGTAGCTATAGTAAAATTGTTGAAGAAATTTTGTTTAACTTTAAAGTACGAATTAGCACATAAAAGATGACTAAAAGTATATTTGAAAACGTAGTCTTATCGAGGATGGGCTACTAAGGGTTAATGACACGGGGGATAACAAAGCCGACGTTTAACATAAGAGATGACCTTAGAGACAAATTTTACGGAATATAAACGGAAAACACAGCAATCGCGTATTCCTTTGCGTAACAGATATAGAAAAGGTATACAGGCAGGTGCAACTAAAGACAGGGGCCGAGTTTCTAGGGTGTACATATAATCGCAGAGAAAATATTCGTCGGAGTTTCTCCTGGTAGCGACAGACTCCCCGATACTTTCGCCTAGAGTATAACGATCGGGTATACCGTTACCGGACATCGACTCCGAAGGTGCGCGATATGTAGTTTACTGGCAAGTGCGACATTACACTTGCAAATGTTATAAATTTTATATCATTGCCATCGATATTACTTAATATCCATGGATATTCCAGATATTAGTAAATAATACAAAGAGTATATTTAATCCATATTGATAGCTTATACTATTTTGCATTTGTGAATTTTTTATTTGATATCACACAAGTTTTGCATAATTTTATGAATTTGTGTTTAATATATTAACATAAATTGCCACAATTTTATTAAAAAGAGCTTTCAGTTTTAGTCCAAAAACTTCATTTCTTTCTCTTCACATGTTTTGAAACTACAATATTGTAAACATGTTTTTCGAATTTTACTAAAAATATCTTGAAATTAACTTTGGACGATGCACGATCCTAAAAATAGGCTCGTTCGGCACAAACATAAAATATTTATTCCCTCGATATATCTTATTGATATCTACACACACTAGATTTATAATCTATTACCGATATTATCGATATAACATTATTTCGACATTTCGATTCATAATCTAATCGATACACTCTGCGACATGATGTATGTTTGTTTATTATCCGAAAATTCGTCGAATTAACGGTCGAAAGCTCAATTATATACTCTTACAATTTTTAAAATAATTAACAATATATTAATGTGTTTAGATAAAATTACATCCAGATTCAATTAAAGGAGGAATGAGAGAAACCATCTAGGCTATATTTATTAACACACATGTTCAACTAATTATACGAATTCATAGTACAAATTTGCTTTAGAGAGAACATAATTGATGTATATGTAAAGATTGGTTTATTTTTAAAATAAACCTTAATCTCTCTCTTTTATCTTTTTCAATCATTAAAACAGAAAATCCACTTAAGACATGTTCGATCTTTTACAAACAAATAAAAAGTTAAAAAGTTAATATTCAACTCTTGATCTCCAAATTAATTTATTTGTCTTTCTCTTCTCTTTTCCTGTTGTACTTTCTTTCTCACTTTACATCGGTATAGTTAAATTAATATTAATTAGTAGGATAATTTTGTTTTTAATCTAATAGCCATATATACGTCTTAATTCTTGGTCCCGTAAATTCACGATTGTGTTTATGAAAATAAATAAATTCATATAAAAGATACATAAAGCTTAAATGCATTTTATTTTTGCTTTATGAGTTTTGTGATTTGTGAGAAAAATACGACAATCTTTCGTGGAAATGTGCATTTTATGCTTTCTGCGTATAAAATTGCTGGATTTATCTACATAAACAAAAGGAAAAACAGCTTCGATATAGCGATATGAAGACGATAAAAGGAAAGATCTCGATATTCGACAATGTCCAATTTATGATGCATTTGGTGCGCGTGTGAATGTATCGCGTTGATTTTCATATATATTTATGCACACGCAAACGAGATTTGATCCGATAACGCTCTTATTTTGCGAATAAATTTTTCGGCTTTTAAATCTGTACTCATCTAAACGAAACGTAACAAGTGGAAGAGACGTTTTTTATTCACGACACGTATCTCAACGGTACAAACTTCCGCGAGTTTTTGTTAATATATCTGCAATCCTCTGCACGTATACAAAGTTACACTGAGAGAATAAAATAGTTACAGTTACTACAATTTCAGTATTAAGTTATTTTCGGTAATTTCCAATTACATTTTTGTAGTTATTTTAACAATGCAAATTATAGCTGATCCATACTACATTATTGTTGTCATTATTGTTGTCATAATTTTATGTTTAACTTGCATTTATTCAACCATATAACATAGTTTACTACTATAACCTGTGATTTATGTATATAATAAGTCGTACTATAAATATGATAAAAATGACATTGATCGAAAAATCTATACATATAAGATTATTTTACTATGCAATTATAGTCGCAAATACCAAATACTTTTGTATTTGCAACACAAAGCGCAACTGTAACTCAACGTATTGTTATCAATTCTACGATATCAACATCGAACTTGCAGCTACGTCATCCCATATCAGGATGTTTTGCAGTTTTTGCATATCTTTTTACTGATTTCACTTCGAGATTAGTACTTATCGTAAGAGCGCGCTAATTTGGAATTAATGCAAAAGAAAGAGTTTTAAAATAGCGAAGCGTGTCAAGCTGTCACATTTGCCTTTATTCTTTTATTATAATACCAAAATAGACTGCAAACGGACAGATTCTTACGTTTAAAACGACGGATAGATTGATTTCGCTTCATTGACATTCTGAGTCGTTAAAAAATAAACTCTCGCGTTCTCACAGATATCTCGAGTCTGTCTCACGTTTAATGTGCACATATGCACATTTGCACGACATCCAGACACCGACAAACCGTCGCAATCTTACACATCATCGTTTGTAGTTATAATCCCATAATTTCCATCATATACACTCTGTTGTCTCACGTTTCTACTTGCCACAACATTGCCCCCCGCCGCGGCCGTCGCAAATTCCGTAAGCTGGGAGGTTCCTAAGTGCCTGTCGCATCAAAATTTCGCAATATGGTCATTAGCCTTCCGCACGCATGTACGTGATGCGTGTAAACTGAAAGCGTGCGGACAAATAAAAAAAGATCAAACAAAAATCAAAGGCATTAAGCAAGATTGAATGAAATCAATTGCAAATAAAAATAGATTGTGAGCTAAATTTAATCAAGTTATATGTCAAGATGTTGTTGACAAATTATTGACAAATTATGTAAAATTAAAGTAAATTGTACAAAGATCGAAATAAAACAGAAGAAAAGAAATTTTTAAATTCCTATTCTTATACATAAATAGAAAAATCAACAATGTGAATTCGAGCCTCGTCGAAATTTTTTACGCTAGGCTTTGACGAGAGTTGCTTCTTTTAATGTAGTAAAACATATATCACGTGAAAGGGCGTAAAGGCTTTCCATTTCTCAAGAAACCATTAAAGGACTTTCCCGGTGGCATGTCTCGCAGAGTAATACCTGAAAGACAACATGACATGACCATGTGGTAAGCATACGAAGACAAATCCCGAGACGCGTTACGATGCTTTTCTCTCGTGGACCATCGTTTTCTACGTTCGACAAATATTTAAATCATAATCCAGACCCGCCAGACGTGAAGGCGCGGCGCGAGATATTTCACTGGCCACGAGGTACAACGCCGTGTTACATGCTATTTAAGCCGCATGTAAATTCGAGCGTGTTTTAAAGCCGACACGAGTGCTCACGAGTGCACACGCGTGTTCTACTTCGCGCGACGTCAGCCAGACTTTTACCAATAAGCTGCAAATAATGCGATAGCGGATAGAGCACGCACGACGATGAGCCAATCGGGCTTCACAAATGTAATTGAAGGAAAAAAAGAGAGAAACGCATTTCTCGTCTTGACAATGATAATAAATACTAGTCGGTTTAAAATTATTCGAGAGCAAAGAAAGTGTTCGCTCGATAGCCAAAAATCGGAGTAAAAGTGCAAATGTTTTTTTTTAGCCGCGTAGAAATTTGTATATATAGAGTATAGAGAAATACTTTCAGAGGGAGGGGGACCGGCTTGATCTACCTAGATACATCTATGGCTTTAGAACCGTTAGAATATAGGTGATCAATGGCACGCGAGCGCTGCTTGGATAGCACACACGATCTTTAAATGGCGAACAGACGTTGCAACAGATGTGTGGATGTTAGCTTTGCCCTTATGTAATTTAATAACCGTATAGACGGCTAATCGCGATGAGCGCGCAACGTCACGAAATTTGGCTCAATATTAACCGAAAGAGAGTAGGTCGTTACTTTTCAGGTCAGATAATATCCGTTTAGAGTTCTATCGCGGTGGCCGACTTAGAACTCCGATTAATGTCATACTATGGCATTTAAGAGAAGTTTTATCTGCTGAGTCATCAAAGGCTTTCCATATTATTTGGAAGATATTTTCTAGATTACAAGCGGAAAAATAAACGTTTTACCTCCGATAAGATTGATAATCATCGGAGATTTTCGAAGCGTTGGAAAAATTTCTGAATGGATCGCTCTATTCTCCCGTTTAACGTTCTAGCTCGCTTCGTGGAATGGGGGGCCGCCCCCCCCCCAAGTCGACTCATCGTACGTGTTTGCTCAACTGTAGACGCGACTTTACACGCTACTTACGTATATATTCACCACGCTGGCCATTAACGGCCAAGTCGCGACAAGGAAAGAAAGGAAACGATTTTTCGCGCTCAAGGACTCTCACGCCGCTTAATAGAGAATTTTTCATGTTACAGGTGCCTCTCGAAAAGTACACGTTATGGTACGTGGCATGCAGATACGAATGCGCAATCGCTGGGAGAAATAACGTTACGTTACATTAAATTCTCAGCGCACCGTGAAAAGTAATTATTCAAGCTACGCAGATGTGGCAGGACAAATAACCGGCGTCGGTATTTTAACAGCTTGGCATAATATTTGTGCAAATTAATCGATTAGTCTTGTTTTTCTAGATTATAAATGGATCTCTGAGGTCAATCCATAAGGCGATACGTGCTTATTACGTCAGTAACGTTTGTTCCAATCATCAATTTCCGTGACAAATGAAATAAAAAAAAGAGAATCGTCAATGAGAATAGCAATCAACAGTAATAATGAAGGAAGAAACTGATTAAAGAGATATCTGAAGTGTATTTCTTGCTTTGTAAAATTCAACGGAAATACGCGACTCGTTGGACCAGGATAATTTTAACGTGCGCGAAATCCGTTGACAAAACCCGAGGAAGCGGAGGGATCGCAGGCGAGAGAGTCTGCCTGACTCCGGCAGGACGATGATCCGCACGTTTCGTTAGGACCGGATGTTCGGGTTCGCGAGGAATTTCGAGGATTCGAGAGTGAGAGACGACGACGGTTTTACGGCTGCTTGGCAACGAGGCCAGGCACCTAGCCAGACGAACCAGCCAGCGGGCAACCGGAGGCGCCTATCGCGGGTCCGACGATCCGTTGAGGTCAGAGCCCCTCTCACAAAGAAGGGCCCCTCCCTTGGCGCCCTCGAACGTTTATACAGGGTGTCCTGCTCCCACTGATACCTTACTATCTGGCATTGCCATATGTAATTTTCCCAAGAGAACGCGACTATTGATTACATTATTTAAAATTTATCTTGAGCACTTTGTCCCAAGAGAGAAATAAAAAATATGTCAAAGGAAAAGGCATGAATCAGGATTTTATATAATAATAACACAAATGTTTTTCTTCGGTCTTTCTTTTAGCCTTAGAAACGTCCGACAGACTCACGAATTTCGCAAACAAAGAGATCGCAGAGTAAATAAATTTTAACGGACAAATAAACGGTGTTTTGCTTTATCTGTCTAGTACATGATAATGTAAAAACACTGGGTCGATAAAGCCGATAAAGCAAAACACTGTTATTTGTTAAAATTTATTTAAACCAGAAATATCTAACGATATTGTTCTACGGCCTTTTTCTTTTTAAAATCGAATCATAAAATATAATAGAATTCCGATTTAATAAAAAACGGTTGGGAAATAATTGTAAGATCATGCAAATCATATACGTGATAGTGATAGTGGAAGTGGATAAAGTGTTTGAAGGCGCTATAGAAAACGTGCTGAATGGAACTTCTGTTAGACGCAACAATAAATAAATGCCATTTATTTTTACTACGCTTTATGCACTCGCAATTTGCGTCGCCTACACTCTGATACAACGACAGCTATTGATGTTCTTGCTCAAAAAGAAAACCTGACCTTTATACTACGCTAAATGGCGTGGGCATAACTAAAACTCTGGAAAGTCCAGAGCTCCGAGAGGAAAAGAGATTCAGATTTTATTATTATACTATAAATACGCTACGATGTATGTGCGATATTCCGACAATTGAATGTCTTATTAAAGTCTCTCGGGCAGATAATAACAGTGATAAACGAAGACAAATCGAATCGAGGTTCGATAACGGAGATACGTGTCTTCTCAATAGCAAGATAAAACAACTTTTTCGCGCACGTGCGAAAACGTGCCGTATTTTCGCGATCGCAGTTTGTAATAAACTTATTAGCGAGGAAGAAGAGAACAAAGTTGTTTCAAAAACTCTCAAGAGAGATATTGATCGATATTGCCATGATTAATTTCAATTTAATCAGTTAGTCTCTCAACGTTTTGTCACGACTAAAATCGAAAATTTAACATTACTCTAAAACATTAATGAGAATCAGCGCTATTCGTAAATTATTAGTCAAATTTATGCTTATATTTGCATGTACTGTTAAATTCGTAGTATTAAATTATACTCAATTTAAGTCATTTTTAACCATTCTTATAGGTCGTCACCGCTCAACATGTTATTAACTTAACTATAATACAGGATTAATTCAACTAAACCAATAGAGTTAAAATAACGTGTCTTGCGTTAAAATAATAAAAAATAACACGGTTTTGTGTTAAAATAATAAATTCCGACACATATGGTACTTAAAAATAACAGAATATTATTTAACACAAGATATTAGTTTAAATTTCGTCCTTTAATATTTAACAGTATATAATAAAATTGTATATAATAATACTACATATAATAATAATACTATAACATATATTTGTATATAATAATAATCGAGACGCTGAAGGCTCCTGTGACTTCTCGCAGCTACAATTCCCGGACAGACTTTTGTTCGAATTACTACTCCTCCGGAGAACCGGAGGCGTTATCCGCGCTGAAATTTCGCGCGTGATTCCGAGGTGCGTCAGTCCAGTTCGGTCACGCCGTTAATTTCGTCATCGTCGCCGACCTACGACCGACTTGCGACACCGGCAACGAGATCTCTCGGCGGCCGGACTGGCCGGTTCGTTCGACGTTCCTCGCCGGCGCGGCGCGGCGCGGCGTTTTATCGGATCGCGAAAGAGACGGACTCGCTCACCGCGCATTCGTGAACAATTTCGAAATCGCCCCGTTCCCGCAAAATCACGGCCGTCAACGCCCGCGTTTCGCGTCGCGGTGTTTCCGCACACTTTCCACGAAGCGAGCGCGGACGGACGAGACGTGTATAGATTCCAAAAAAAGAAAAAAAAGAGAGAGAAGCCACTCACCCATGTGAGCGAGGTCGATGATCGGGATTTCGCACTTGCTGAGAAGAGTCTCGCAAGTGTGCGTGACCATGGGCGCGCTGGTGCAATAACTCATCCTGACAAGCCGGGGTCTCCTTGGAAATCGGTCGAGATTCCTTTTACCACGCCGGTTCGCTCCCTCCTCTCCCGCCGCTCCCCCGTCAGTCTCTTTCTCTATCTGTCTCTCGAATCCCTGCCGATGTACTCTCGTCGCAGACCGACTGCCGCTCTCGACTTTCTCTCTCTCTCTCCCCCTGCCTCTTTCTCTCTTTCTCTGTGCTCCGCAGCGAGAGCGACAGCAAAAGAAAAAAAAGACCATACGCCGCTTCGCGCGCGCTCGACTCGGTCACCCGGTATAAGGCGCTCACCACACGGACTCACTGGAATATCCAAGAGAAGATCATACTACCACGCGCGCACAGGCACACACGTTATACACATACGATATTCTCGCGACCACGCGCGCGTGGATCAAAGCGGCAAAGCGCGGATTTAAAAGGGGGTTGCTAGATTCTCCGGAGTGTCCCCCCGGGGGTCACATGCGCGCGAGCGTGGAGAAAAAAAAACCCCGCGCGCGGAGGAATATGGCTGCCCTTAACGGTAGCCGTAGGAGACGAGTTTATTGTGCGGCTCGCGATGCGGTAAGCGGCATACGTGGCTGCGGACTAGCGGGCACATGCTACGACGGCGTGATGGCGGGTTTCAGAGTAAGCGATCACTCTCGGTTGACCATATTTGATCACCGCGTTCCCAATCAACCGTACCGTCGCGCGGCCGTTCGCAAACTGCCGCGACTGGGCCGACTGGCCCGCAGCCCGCGCCCGCAACCGTTTCGCGAGCCTCGAGCATTCCGCGCGCTCACGAGTGCCGCCGAGCGCAACCGAGCGCGATCGAATGCGGCCGAGTGCGGCCGAGCGCGGCCGAGCCCCGTCCCGGGCGTCGTCGAAGATCGGCGCGCGCGCGCGGAAAATCATTTTTGCGATCTGCCGTTTATTTGTTTAAGGTAGTACGTCCGTAAACTTATTTTCTTAGGAATCTTGTAAAATTTGGACGGCATATTAATGTAAACATTACCGGACCGGTTGAAATAATAAAAGTCAAAATTAGCACTTTTTACATGTATCATAAAACGAAAACGGCTTCCGATATCGATTTCTAATTGTAGAGATCAAACTACTTTTACGGTTTTAATAAAGAACAAGAAGATGATAAAAGAGACTTGCAAGGATATTCTTACAAAATTACAAAACCTTTGACCGTCTAAATCCGATACGTAAAGTACACAATTTCTGATAGCGGTGGACGACTACACTTTAAAGATCTAATAGTACACATTAGTGTCTATATATGCATATATATATTTATATATATATATGTGCATATAAGATTCTTATTCACACATGGATATAACGCGGACAATCCTAGCCAGATACTATATATCGATCATTTTGTCTATATCATTAACTTTTTGACAGTATTGTCACGGACGAACTACCTTAAACCTTAAAACGCATTTGATATGAAAGTTTACTGCAAAATAACGTTTCGTTGTTATTTTCATAATGTCCGTGTATTTAGTTCATTTCATACACACACTCGGGAAAATGATAAACTATACGTACAATCGCAATCGGTACGATCTAAATCTTAAGTAGACCGGAGTAGATATTCTTTCCTCGAATAATCGAGCATGGAGCTAGTTGCGTTTTCGTCGCGTGAACTATAAACCTCGTTCGGGGGACTTTTCGGGTTTCTCCAGAACTGTATTTTCAGCATACGAAAGTGCCGATGAAATGCAATAAGAGGAACACGAGCTCTCGCTCATGGGACGTCACCGGTTCTATTACAGTCGGTCTACAGAATAAGCGCAAAAAGGAGCACGCGGAAGATTAACGCGCATCGAATACCGCGAGTGGCTTTAAAGTCGCCTGCAGTTTTTAGAAATACCGCGTCAGTCTCTAAAACTGTCAATTTGATACGAAATAGCAATTAGAACAACTATGATCGTTGAAAATCGCATGCAGAAAAGACAGAACAGGTAATCACATTTGTAATGTGAACTCATTTTATCGTAAATTCATTATAAAAAGATATCCTGACGCATTAAATAAAATGTATGCGATAAAGTTGCGCGATAAGATCGAAGCTACAGAACAAAGTTACAAGTACTTGAATGACGTCAACGGCGAAAGCGAAAGCATCGCTCGTCCTCGTTGTCGTTCGACGTCTTAAACTACACTGAATTTCCGATGTCGATCGGCTTTCAGACAGGAAATTTACTTGCTTCCCACCAGATTACTCATTGTCTAGCCGATGACACGACTTACCTCTAATCGTGATAATTAGCGTTTTGCAATCGTTAATACGCAGTATGTTCGAAAGACAGCCGCCGTTTTAATCGCTCCGAAGATCTATGGTTCATTAACGCAAAGTGGCTTCAACGCGCGCATTTGTTACGAAGACATTCCACGGATATTCTGTGCTCCTCGTGAACGCTTGGTTTAATCTTCGCCACGTCCCAAGTACTATTAAGCAAAGCGCCACAGTTGTTTTCATCTTTTCATACTCAAAATGACAATTTTTCAGTTACGAAACTAAAGTTCTATAATAATTACTTACACAAAAAGTTATTTTTACTATAAAATTTCATAATACCTTGTTTTTATTACTTATTATATATTTTTTTATTTTTTTATCAAAAGGTATTTCTAAATCTTTTAGAAATTCACGTTTTTAGATTATAATTAATTCAATATTTGACTATTATCGTTAAAATACTAAGTAATAATTATAAAAAACATACAAAAAAGCGATCTTTAAAAGAAGTTATTTAGTTTAAAAAATTCAAAGCAGTTGTCTCTCTCTCTCTCTCTCTCTTCCTCTCTCTCTGTCTTTCTATTTATATTAAAAAGATTTCCACTTACCGATTTCCGTGATTCAAAATGGGATATCTGCGTCTGACCTTAGGCAGTCTAATTTTCCGGTTCTCCTTGGTGAAAACGTCTTTAGCTGTTAACGAACAATAGTGCATGCTCGGTCTTTTGCGCCAAGCGGATTTCTTAAGTGGAAAAAGTCGTGGCACGTAGGTCCTTGACGATGTATTTGTAATAGAGAATGGCACAGCGGAACATCTTACCCGAGGAAAGGACGTTCCCAGAGGGACAAATCTGCAGACCATCTGTGATAATAGAAGTGACGTCGGAGATATGGATAGACAATAGTGCTTGCGGAATTGTTACGAGAGTAATTTGAGACATTAATCAAGATAGTTTGGATTTACACGTGTATCTAATTTAAATTGTATTTAATTTAAATAATTAAATAATTAATTTTGACAGAAAAGTATATGTTTGTTCCGCCAATTAACGAGAAAAACTCTATTTTTAATCGACAACGTTTGGCTATCAGTGTCGTGACAATTCGACTATTGGTTTTGGTCGGATTAATCGTCAAGACGTTTCGACCGTGGGTTTTGGTCTAATTAATTTTAAGTTAAATCTTTCAATCACGAATATTCTGTTGCGACAGTTGCAATAAGTGATTGATTGTAGCAAATTTTCAGTAAAGTGCCATTATTATTATATGATGTAAAATGAATTTTTTTTATCAAGGGAATGATAATATACCGATAATAATCATTGTCGTGTAATTTTTATTTTAGGAACGCTTAGCACAGATCAGATTAGACAAGCTAACATACTCTGGTAATTAGAAAGGCCAGTAGCACTTGTATAACGATCAAAGTGATAGTCATAACGTAAGCGACTATGACGATTCTGAGAAGAATAGGACTGATGACTTCCGCGCAGCCGTTCACGTTTATAGTTTTGTCATCCGTCATCTCTAAGTGCATACAAGGTGCCGCAGCGCGCAAGTTGCAGCAGCTAAAAGGGACTCCAAGACTTCTAAAGTCTTCATCCGAGATTCTGTTTTGTTCCGCCATTTCCACACGAGACGCGTAATCTACTTTCTTGTTGAAAATATATATCGCAAATTTATATACATTCCTATATTTTTCCTATCGATCTCTCAATCAAAAAGAAAAGTTCTTTATTTAAAAAAATTTATTATCAAAAGTATAATAGAAATGCGACAATATGAATTATAAAATACCTACATCAATAAAATTTTTCGATTTTTAAGAAAGAATTTAAAAAGATTAAACTAATACAATGGATTGTTTATTCATCGTCAATCGGCGAATTTTTTAGAATGTTTTCGATACCTGCAATCGAGACAAATATAATGTTGGAGGATTACCTGCCAGTCGAAGAGAAACCAATCGATATAAGAGGAGTGACCGCAACATTGTAACACAAATTGGATCTCGTCGATTGCGTATTTATATGACGCAACAGTGGCGTACAGATGCATGGAGGCGTTGAAGACATCAATTAAAGTGTCTTGCTTCACATTGATGTGATACCCTATCGAAACTAGTGTCGTCGTGTTCATAGCGGTACACACAATTATCATTATCAAAAGACATCTTAACACCCGCCTAGTTTTCGGACAGAGATTCGATTTGCGCCTGCAAGAGCGCATCCATTATTACAAGTCACAAGCCAAGAGATTATAAAAGGAGTTGCAGCACACAAATACAATTAATTAATATAATCTTATATAATCAATAATGTAATATACAATAATATGTTTTGTACAATCAATAATGTAATAATTAATAGTAAACTTTTACGATAATATATGTAATTATTTTTCCGATTTGATTGTTCCTCAATGCAAACCGAAGGTACCTATTCTATATTTTAGTTATAACTTGCATTTTTATACTTTTTACCTCCAAATTATTTATTGAAGAAAAATTAATCAAAAAAATAATTATTTATATTATTGCAAAAACTTTTTAAATATATTAATAAATATTATTCCGCGAGTGCACGCCTCACTTGTTCGTCCATCACTGCGAGTAGAATGAGCGTTACCTGCGTATAGTGCGTACGGTGATAAGGGCGCACGGCAATCCCAGTGTTACGTCCGCCAAGGTAAGGGCGACCGGTTGGAAACCACCTGCGATACGGATCACCTGCCACTCCGCAAATATCTCCAAGGCGAGCACGAGGAGACGCTTCGCCTCGAAGACGGCCAGGGTGAAAGCCACGCCGTAACCGAATTTTACCTCCCATCCACAGGTGCAGCTTACTCTTTTGCGGTAGACCAGGCTACGGCCGTTCTCCGTCATTCAACGGCTGCACGACGCCGCGCCTATTTGATGGACAATTCCGCTCTGTTGTTATGTTGTTATCTTTTTGTCTTCTTCTAAGTGTCTCGCGCGTGCAAAATAATACGGTACGTGTCCGGAAAATTCGCAATTATATTTATCTCACCAGTTATATTATTTCACCGATAACGAAGATAATTCCAAATATCTATCTTAATTATGTAATTAAGTTAATTGGAAAAGTGTTTGGAAATTTACGGCGTAAAATAAATGGTTCTACGTAAAGATTATTTCTACCATGTTATAAAATATGTTCATGTGCAAATCTATGTGTGTGTATTTGTATATTTAATTGCAAAAGACAAAACTCTTATACGAATAAATCGTAATTGTTTATATTAATGACGAATATTCTTTCGTTCCACGTGGTTGAAAATTTGTTTGTCATCACTATACTTGACACTGATACCTTTGTATGTAACACTATTTTACAATGTCGAATGGTCACGTGTCGCGGCCGCCGCATGATATGTGCCGTTTATTACTCATCATTGTTGCGCATACCGGAAGAAGTATGTAAAGAAAAAAAAATGTTTTGACGAGATACAATTAGACGCGCCGGGGCTATAATTGACGTGGCGTGCAAATGGGTCGCGTTTGCGTGTGCATATTGCACGTATCCTAAAGTGGTTACCACGACAGTTGCGCAATTTCTTCGTCTCGAAATATTGCGAAATTGTGGATCTGTTTATCGGTCGCATGAGAAACATCCATTCGTATATTTGTAATAAATTTCATTTATATATTTAATCGCGATTTTGTCAGTTCAGCAATTAATTAATAAAATAATGATTTAATATAATAAATACAAATTTTCTAAATATAATAATAACATTATCTTCACATTATGTTAATTATTATAAAAGTATTATAACATTTAAAGAGAAAAATGATTTTTTTATTTAATATAAAAAATAATATATTAAAATATGACATATACAGAATTACATACATATTCGGTCTTATCTATAATGTCTTACTTAGAAAAAGCGCAGTTTAATACTTTTTATGCGTTTGATGTTGAGTAACATCAACTTAGCGATTGAAAGAGTTAAGATTGAACTTTGAGATTATTTAAAGCAATTTAATCTTACGCTTTACGAACGTTTGAATAAACATTCGAATAAAACTTACCGGTAAGCATCGTGCGCTAAAATGGGATATAATTTCTTGAATCTTTAAAATAAATTTGTCAATTTGGTTATGATTACGTTCGTATAAACTACAAAATATAGAATGTACAACGTGAAGAGCATGTCTAAGATGACATATATGTCGTTCTCGCTAGGTCGATGTCGATATATCTCGAGATTTTGATATTTAAAGTGTCAACGGCAGAATGCCTGGACATTTTGATATGTATATGACATATATGTACATGTATATGTATATGTATTATGTCCAGGCATTCCTGCCGGTAGAGTGTACTCGTATACAAATACTCGTATAGGTATGGACATATAAATGTATGTACGGCGTCATTAATGCTTTCCACCTGAAGGCATAGTAGCTACATATAACGTGCATTGTAGAAATCCCCAGAACACATATAGGAAAGCATAATTGACGCCGTCTGTACTTGTATAAATGTTATAACTAAATATGATTAACTTACAATTAAAATATATATATGTATGCAAATATTAAAATATTTCCATTTTGATTCCATTAAAGTATTTTCATTATAATATCAGAAGCCCAGGCAAACTTTTCAACAATAAGAATGTAAAATGTTCTCATATTACGGTCGCTATACACGACATTTTGAAATAGAAAATTTAATGAAATTAATTTCTTTTTTTATTAGAGTAAACTATATATACTTTTAAAAACATGTACGTAATTTATACACATAACTTTTTTATTTTTTTATTTTTATTCACAGAACATATTGTTAAAATAAGATTGTTTAATTTGGAAATATCCTATATAATTTGGAAATGTAAATTACTATATGCTAGTAATAACTGGACGGCAGTATAATTGTTTATTAACAACTAAATTAAAAATTAGGACAACAACGATAAAATTTAACATAAAAAAGATACATTTTTAAATATTTAAATTATCTGAAAATTATTGTGACATTACTAATGAATAATTGAGCATTAGTATGAATAATTCTTTCACCTTTGGATTACACACTTAGGTTAAAAGCTCTAAAATAGTTGATAACTATAATTATTTTAATTGCTGTAATTGCACTGGCTTATTATTCAGGGTGTCTCGCAATTACCGTAAAATATTTTACTATTTTATTCTGGAGATGAAATAAAGTAAAAAAAAATTTATACATAAATGTCGAAGTTACAATAGTTTTTAATTATAACCAATAAAAAAACCGTAATAAGTATCTCGTAGAACTTACACGCTTAGGCCCGCAGTTATACGTGCATCGGTCTGTCATTTGTTGTTGATTTTCACAGTTGATATCAAGTTTTACTGCATAGCTGATTATTAATAATATTAGTAATTATTATAGTCGATTTTACTCTTTTCAAGACATAAAAAAATAAAAAACAACATAATAAATTAATTCTCATAATTACTCAAATAAAAAAAACTGTTTCTCAAGTGTGTAAAATTAAATTTTATATTCCTAATAATAATAATAATAATAATAATAATAATAATAATAATAATAATA